ATTTTTGTAAAACAACATATTTTTCTCTACCCAGTTGTATTACTCAACACTATGGTGTGCGAACTTTGATGTTAGGTTTAATTTCAAGCATTGGGAATTAAAACAGATTTATTTGTTCATTTTCGAGCATGAAAGTCCTAATTTATAAAAACGTTTTAAAAATTCTTGTCTACTGGCTGATTTTAAATAAGTAAGTAGCGTTGTTAATTGTGTTATAATCTATTTTAATTATATTTACTTAATTTACTTATATTATCCAATTATTATTTTTATTTATTCTATATAATTATTTATTATACTATTAATTTCTTAGTCAAACCATTTAATAGATTATAACACCATTAGCAACTCTATCTCCACTTTAAAGTCAGCCATTAAACAAGAACTTTTAAATTGTTTTAAAAATGAAGAATTTCATGCTCGAAAATCAACAGATCAATAGGGTAAATTCCCGATGCTTGAAATTAAACCGAACCCCAAAATTCATTCTTGCTATACTAAAGAAAAGGACTGTCCCACTCTCTTACAACGTAAATGCCATAAAACCATATTAAATAATGAATTACATAAATTATTTAGTCAGAGAGATATAAAACGTTGTTACCGGTATCTTGTTCACACTAGGCTTGCCTCATTATTGTCTCCGTCAGATTGGAATAAATTCGATTATGACACGCGGTCAAATGTTAAATTTATAATTGATAAAATAAAAAAAATACCATGGATAAAAAAAAATTGAAAACTCGAAGTACTGAAAATACTCATAAAGACCAATCAACTGCAATTAAATTTTCCGCAAGGGTTATAACAAACATAGGACTAAATAAAGAAGAATCAAATTTATAGACTTAAAGCTTAAAATTTGTTCCAAAAACTGGTTGAAATACAACGAAACTACTACCCCTTGGTTCATCTGTTGATTGTAGTAAAATGAATACAAATATAAAATATAAATGTGCTGAAGTAATTAAACCAAACTTGATAAATCTAATCGTCAAAAAAATTAAATATCCCACATACAATTAGCTCTATTTATAAAAAGACAAAAGTAACAACAACGTTATTTTAGAAACCGATAAAGTAAATACTACAGTAATCATTGAACATCCAAAATACTTTCTAAAGTTGAAGAATTCCTAAGCAATAACGATTTTAAAGAAATTACAAAACCACCTCACCTTAAAATTAAATACCAGAGTTCAAACAGTTATAAAAAATACTGACTTTCTATTCTCAAATTACCAATTATTATTATGTTAAAAAGCTAATACCAATGAACCCGAAACCCCCAATCTTATAGAATACGGTCAAAATCCTCAAAGAAAGGAAACCTATAAACCAGTAGTGTCCTTTTATTATTCCCCTTGCTACTAACTCGCGATGACAATAGATAAAATAATTAAAACTACCACCAATTTCAAACTTCCATTCGAGATTAACAATTCTTTAAAATCGATTTTAAAAAAATGAAAAACACATAAATAACCCTAAAGAACATAAATACCCCTGTTAACGAATATACTAAACTAATAAAACAAAAACTTATAGAGAACTCTATTAACGAATTTGTAAAACAAATGATAAACTGATGATTACATATATGCTTACTATCTGCTTAATGCAAATTTAATAATAATTTTTATGACCACACATTTTGCCGAAATATTCGTGGATGAGATGGAAAAAATTATTTTCAAATCGTAACAAATTAATTAAATCTGTCTTTTTTTGGACACAATATGTAGACGATGTTTTATGTATATGGTCGGGAACACTAGAGGATCTAAAGCATTCCTCTAGTTAATTAATTCTTTAAACCCTAGTATAAATTTCACATTGGCAATAAATAAAGATGGTTGTTTAAAAAATTTAGGCTTAAAAATTTCCATAATAAATAACCTAATTGAAATAGACTTAGATAAAAAACCCACAATTATAGACACCATGACAATAGCAGATTCTTTTCACCCATGGAACCGAAAAAAACTGTTGGATTCATTTGACTCACAGATCGTACGTTGAAACTACAATTAACACCTGCTAATTAATAAAAAGAATTACAAACCATTAAAAAGTTAGCTAGAAACAATAGATATCAGGAAATATTTATCGATACGTTGCTAGAAAAAATTTAAAAATTAACTTTCAAAAAAAGCAGCAATCGGACATAGCCACCCCACCAAAAATTAAACATTACGTTATTTAAAAATCGTGAAATCCGGTCCGGTGTGACGAAGGTTTTAGAAAAACATTTTCTTTATCGCGCCAAACGTTTCGATCTTTATTGAGATCATCTTCAGGGCTTGGGATTTATAAAAATTATTTAAATTATATAAATGCATATAACATGTGAATATGAATTTTTACAACGATGTACACAATATAGAAATTTTAGGTTTAGTCGAAGAATTTATACTCAGTTTGATAAATAATAATAAATACTACATTATAAAAATTTTAACCATATATTCCTCTTACCGAAGGACGTCGATTGTCAATGATTAAATTTTGAAAAGCAGTTTTTAATACTTGGTATACCTAAAAGACGAGATGAAATAGCGTATGGCGCAAGTTCTTCAAGGCAGGATACACCAAACCACTTGATTCGCACCTTTCGAAAAATTATTTCAACCACTCCCAAAGTTGGGAATCTCATTGGATCGGTTTCATTCTGTGCATAAAAGGGCTTTGTTTAATAGCAATACAAAAAATGAAATATTTGGTCCGAAAAACGGTTGCTTCCCTTTCATAAACCATTAAGAAATTATTTTCAGATCGAGGTCAATTTTTTCCCTTTTCCGCTTAATTTTACATCAAAAAATTTTAAACATAGATTGTTCTTAAAGAAGGACGTCAATTGACAATGATTTAGTTTTGAAAAGCGGTTTTTGACACATACAAATAAAGAACAAGAAGGAATAGCGTAAGGTGTGGTACAAATCAAGGTAAGATACCCCAAACAACTTGATTCGCAACATTCAAAAAATTATATGAACCACTTCTAACGGAAAACAATAATGCAATATTAAGTCCGAAGAACGGTTGCTTCTCTTTTATAAATAATTAAGAAATTGTTTTCAGATAGAGATCAAATTTTACCCTTTTCCGCTTAATTTTATATCATAAAAATTTTAAACATAGATTCTTCTTAAATAAGGAAATGTATAGAAAATGATTTAGTTTTGAAAAGCAGTTTTTGACACCTGGATTTAGTTTCGAAAAGCAGTTTTTGACACCTGATATACATAAAAGACGAGTTGAAATAGCGTATGGCGCATGTTCATCATGACAGGATACACTAAACCACTTGATTCGCAACTTTCGAAAAATTATTTCAACCACTTCTAAACCTGGGAATCTCATTGGATCGGTGCATTCTATGCATAAAAGGGTTTTGTTTAATGGCAATCCAAAAAAAGAAATGTTTGGAAAGGAGTTTTTGATACATCATATACATAAAGAACAAGAGGGAATAGCGTAAGGTGTGGCGCAAGTTCATCAAGACAAGATACACCAACCACTTTATTCGCAACTTTCGAAAAATTATTTCATCAACTTCTAAAGTTGGGAATCCTTTTAACCTCCCATTAAGAAATTGTTTTTAGATCGAGCTCGAATTTTTCCCGTTGTCGGCCGATTCACGCCATAAAAACTGCTCCCTCTTGTAGTAGGAAGTTAAAAGTCGATGTTTTAGTTTGAAAGTGTACACTTTTTTTCTAACGTTTCTAACGCTAGAATATGCTTGTAAGAAGGGCATCTTCAAATAGCGTAAGCGATTCAAAAATTAATTTAAGCATGGAATCTCATTGGATCGGTTTCATCTGTGCACAAAAGGTTTTAGTTTAAATTTTAAAAATGCAAATTTTGTTTCGAAAAACAGTATTGATAAAACCATTTTACCAATACGTAAATGGAAATTGTGATCATTTGATAGGCTTGCTTTTGAAGGTTGGCCAATGTCAATCTTCAAAAACATGCCATAATAAAAATTATACCAAAGATGGATTATTTTTAATATCTAATCCTAAGTAAAAAAGCGGATCGTATCCTCGTTTAGATCCGAAGTGAGAGAATAGAACAGGGAGATCCCGTATCCGCTGGACCGGATAAACGAACGTCCGGATCCGCTAAAGTTTAAAAAAAGAATGAGTGGAGGAGGACAGAAAAGCCAAGGGGCATTAAATATTTTATCCCTTGCCAGTCACCGCCGGTGCCAGAGCCGATTATTTTTTTCCCCTTTTCCTTCAGATCTGTCGATTAAGTCATTTTTCGAGTGGGCACAGCGTAGGACGTAGGTCTAACACGTCGTTACACATATCGAGGATGCGAGTCGTTCTGCTTAGGCCAATCGAAACTTTCTAAGCATCAAACCACCAATTATCCGAGCAGACGAAAAAAAAATTATCGACTATTAATTTATTCACAGCGTCCGAGTCGACCACCTGTTATTATTTGGATGTACAGTATATGAGAATGTAGAAGTTGTTATTTGGGGGAAATAAAAGCACAGAAAGGGACGAGTATAAAGTCGCTTTCCTTTGTCCAAGGGCCGATAGTGTTGAAAATTTCTGACACGATTCCGAATGACGGACTTTTTAAGTTCGAAAATGAACGCGTAAAACACTGGGTTTTTTAATAAAAGGTACTGTTTAAAAACACATAGGATGGAATGTCAAAACAAAAAATATAAAATACAATAGTGCTCGGTGGCAACAACGACACTTATCACTGTACGGGGCCCGGGTTCGAACCTCAACGTCCCGAAAGTTTAATAAAGAATTATATTTAGAAGTAAATTGGTTTTTTGACCGTGCCTTTTTTACACGCCGGTCCTTATGATTCTTCATTTTAGGTTTTGCGAATGTCTGGCATAGATGTGGTTTTTCCAGACGTACAAGCCGTGTTTTAGGATAAAAAAATGTGAAAAGTTGTATAAAAAATTGGTGCAGTGGTTGGCACTGGTGCAGCAGAAATCTTCTTTTTCTAATCGTTCAACGTACCTTGAGCAGAGACGTCGAAAATGACTGAGATTAGAATTAGGAAGAGAAGAGTCATGATGGGTCAAATTTGGAGGTGTTTTTTTTATTTTCGAATAGAGTCTAATCCCAGGAGAAAATCCAGAGGAAAAAAAACACTTCCGACTTCGGTTGAAAATAATAACGACTTGATTACTCTAAAAGATCGTTTTCGTCATGATTGAGCCGGAAAATTGAAATGACTCAAATGATTAGCGATGTATTTTTTGATTTGGGGGAGGCGAGAAATCGCGTTGTTGACTGGAAGAGCGGCGCGAAGAGACTGAACCGGCAGGAATCCGCTGGCATCCTCGACTCTGACCCCCTCTTCGACGGCCACTCAAGCACACGCACACCCTCGCCCCCGCCCGCCCCCGAACCACCCTCCGACGCTACCTTTTATTATCAATTATATCCGCTATCATCCCACATCAAAAATCAATCGTCTAAATCCATTTTCAATATCTCACATGGGGATTTTTCAAAAGTAGAACCGGCCTCCTCAGTTCAAAATTGTCACTAGATTTTCCTAGCTCTTCATCAATATACACTTCTACAAAGCAAACAATAATTACATATCGCACACCCGCAAGAAATGTGACACAAATCGAAAATTTCTAAAAACCGGATTATTTAAGTTTTTGAAGTATTCGGGTGTGAGATGCTACAGGATAAATGACATCATCAGTGTGCTAGGCAGCATCGTATGTTTAAATTGATGGAAAAGTATTGACACCATTCGCAAAAATTAGAATATCATAGTTTTGTGTCAAGCTTTATAACATTGGTGTAATTTTATCAGTTAAAATGGCTGAACTTGTTACTTCAGTTTTCTTCTTGTTTAGTGAAGAATTTAAGCTGCTCCGGAATAACGTATTGTTATAATAATCTATACATCTTAATATAATACTCTTTCGTGTCAAGTTATCGCAACTTCCAGCATTGATACATTCATGATTTAGAGTTAGCATATTATATACACTGACATTTCATTTATTTCATAATTTCACTTTCTCGATAAATAAAATTCTGCCCTTAATTACTCTCATTGTTTTTACAAATAAATATTTGTTTATGCTATGTATTAAATTGGGAATATCATCAATTAGAGATTACTCATTAATCCAAAACATGGATAAAGTATTTTTCAATGTTTACTTTTTACGGAATTTAAAATGTTTATTTAGTCTCAATGGAATTCAGAAGCAATAAACAGTTTATTTTTCATCTTTGTTTTCTTAATTTCAATTTTTAAACATAAAAATCCCACTTAGACCTGAGGCTGTTGCGCGTGTGGCATTTATTGATGATGGACGTTCCATCGGGAATGCGGCTATTGCCATCGCAGCTCCCTACGAAACACTGCGAGACGCCGTCAGACGTTTTCGAAAAACTGGGTCCTACCATAGAAGGCCCGGTTCTGGACGCCATAGTGTAACAGGACCACAGGATGACCGTTTTTTGAATTTCATAATTTTGCGAAACCGGCACCTTACTGTTGTTGAACCGATTCATCAGCTCCTGGAAGTTCGAAATGTCCAAATTTCTGAACGCACTCCACAGTATGGACTGATGGCTTTTCGCTCCGTAAGATGACCACAATTGACTAGAACATAAAGAGTTGCACGGCACGCATTTGCCGAGAACCATTGGTCTTTGGAAGATTGGTCTGCTGTACTTTTTGCAGATGTGTGCAGATTTACTATACGATCTGCTGATGGGCGTGAAAGAGTGTGGAGAAGGAGAAATGACAGGTACGAAGCATGTAATTTTTTCCAGAGCCTACCTTTTCAACATGGCTCAGTGATGATGTGGGAGGGAATTTCAATAGAGAGTCGTACAGAGTTGGTTGTTGTTCATGTTGACGGCCACTCGCTATGTGGATGAAATTTGGGAACTTCACGCGTTGCCTATGATCCTATTCTAATGCCCGTCCACATGTCGCTAGCATAGTACTTACGCACCTTCAACATCAGGCCTGGCCAGCCGGTTCTCCAGACATGAACCCCATCGAACATTTATGGGATAACTTCAAAAAACGAATAAGAGCACATCCATCACGTCCTGATACAATCCACAATCATGAAAGAACTTTTCGAGAAGAATGGGCCAACCTCCAGCAAAGAGACATTTCCAGACTGGTAGAAAGTATGTCGAGGAGCCGTCTTCGAGATGTAATTAAGGCAAGAGGAGGAAATACGCGATATTAAAATGCTAATTAAAAATCTAAAACAAGACTAAAACTAATTTAATCTGTCCGTCTTTTTTTATTATTTTTCTTTTTTTTAGAGATTTAAATTTTTTTTTCTTTTTTAGACAAAGAATCAATTATTAAACGTTAAAAAACGTGAAACTTTGATTAATATATAAAAAAAATATATAAATCAACTAATAATTTAAAATATCTGTATAAATGACTTTTACATCGCGTGTAATGACTTTTACAAACCGATTCTAAATTCGTTGACAACCAACAAGAAGTAAACTGCCATCAATAATGATGTCTGTCAGTTTTCAAATTCCACCCCTTTGGCAACTATTTTATGGAAAATGTTATGGATATTGGATCTTCTCGTTGCACTTTGATAACGGGCAATGAGAAGAAAAGTATGACCTATAGTTCTGATAGGACCGGGTCTTCATATTTGACTAACAAATCTCCTAAGGATGGATGTTTCAGGTCAAACATGTTTCAGAAAATCGAAATATTGTAAATACTGAATTACTACAAATATATTTTATGCGAAAAGGGGAGATTGCGTGTACTTAATTGAATCTAACCACATTTCTAGTTGTTTTGCCGCGTTTTTCTCTTCATTGTAAGAGCAAAGTAGTATTAATTTTACAATTATTTTAGTTTTCAATGATAGAAGTATCGACCATTTCTTTACTCACGAACAGTCTGGATCAAGGTCTTGAAGAAAAAAGTTAATTCAGTTGTTACAGCCAAGCTTTCGACCTATTTAAAGGACATCACCAGGGCCTATATTAATTTCACATTATGAAAAAAAATTGTTACATCAATTGTACAAATATGTTTTTCGTAACGGTTATTTATGCTTGTTTGTTAGTTCACTATTTTCGTGGTCCGCTTGACCAATTAATACAAGACAATTAATTAAGGTTTTTAGTTGAGATGAAAAAAAGTTAATGGCACGAGAGGGATTCGAACCCACGACCTTCGGCTAGATACGCCGCTGCTCTACCACCTGAGCTATCGTGACCTCGATCCACTCGGACATCTACTCCCCATCTCAACCCCACGGCGTATCTAGCCGAAGGTCGTGGGTTCGAATCCCTCTCGTGCCATTAACTTTTTTTTCATCTCAATTAATTACGGTTTTTAGTTGAGATGAAAAAAAGTTAATGGCACGAGAGGGATTCGTACCCACGACCTTCGGCTAGATACGCCGCTGCTCTACCACTTGAGCTATCGTGACCTCGATCCACTCGGACATCTACTCCCCATCTCAACCCCACGGCGTATCTAGCCGAAGGTCGTGGGTTCGAATCCCTCTCGTGCCATTAACTTTTTTTTCATCTCAACTAAAAACCTTAATTAATTGTCTTGTTTGTTAGGTTTGTATGTTGTCTGTTACTATCGCAAAAATATTAATATCCTCACAGTCATTCATTGACCACCATTATCATTAGAGCAAACAGACTAATTTAAATTACAGACAACCAATATATGCAAGAAAAGTGTCACAACTCAAAAAGCTGTTAGTTTTTTAGGGGTAGTAAAGCTGGATTTTAATTTTTTTTTTTTTTTTTGGCTTAAGTCTTGGACCAACCAAAAGCCGATATTGATATACCATGAAAGTTTTTATTTCGAACAACATTAATGGCGTTGCACTTAATACATATACAATTAAAAAAAGAGTAAAATTCCATCCGTCTCTCCTGTCAAATCCGTGGCTCTAGGTGAGGTCAGCAGGTTACCGTCTGGAGGATATATAGTTCGTTTCAGTTACCCACATAGAAGATTTTTGGTTTTTTGACGAGGGTTCGCAATAGCAGAGGTCATATCATCCCTCGGAGTGCAGGTAGTTTTGAAAGAATCCCATTTGTAAGTATGTCGGGTTCGAATGCAGGGCAGCTGGATTCGAACCCGGTACCTTTACCTTAAAGAGAGCGCCGTGTCAACGCCTAAACCGTTGCGGCCACCGACGCCCCTCAACTTAGAAGCTTACAAGTACAATTAAATTAGTTAAAGTATTTTCTCCCTCTCTTTTGCATGTATTTGAAAGTTATTATACACTGATGGAAAAATGAACGCACTACCTTTAAATTTTACTGTATTGAGGTTTATTCATGTGCGTACCAAAAATAGGTTTGGTTACAAAAATAAGACATTTCAAAAGAAAATGTTTATTACCTAATTCTAAAAAAATAATTAAGTAAAGTACAGAAAAAACAGAAAATTAAAAAACAAATAAAAATGAAAATAAAACTATTTCGTTCCCTTTAATACTGAGTATACGACGCTCAGACCCAAATTATGTATTTCAAGATCTACATAGTCTTTCAATTTATTAATCTTTATGTAAGGTATTGGTCGAGATAAAAAAGCAGTATCACGAGCGGGATTCGAACCCACAACTTTCGGCTAAATACGCCGCTGCTCTACCACTTGAGCTATCGAGACATCGATCCACTCGGACACCAACCTCCCATCTCAACCCCACCTTTCGAATTTTACCTCCTTTTTGCCATTTTTTAATTTATCGTGTAATCTATTCGATTCTCGGCGACAAATGAAATGGCCACGGAGAGCTTTAGTGAAGATATACTTCATTTAATTTATTAAATCCATTAGATTTCGTGGTCCGATTGACCAGTGGATCGAAGCCACGATAGCTCAAGTGGTAGAGCAACGGCGTATCTAGGCGAAGATCGTGGGTTCGAATCCCGCTCATGACACTGCCTTTTTTATCTCGACCAATACCTTATATAAAGATTAATTAATTGAAAGATGTTATCTGGTCAATCGGACCACGAAATCTAATGGATCTACGATAGTATTAGGTTCCACAGGGTTAAGGTTAGGTTAAGATAGGGTTAGGGTTAAGTTAGGTGGGGCTCTGTTTAGGTTTATGATTGGTGAGTTCAGGTTAGCTTTAGTCACATATCAATGATCCAATAATTTTCCGTGAGGCGAGTTTTTGAATGGCAAAAACACTTGTTTAACTTAGGTTTTGTTACTTCTGCAAAACACAAATCTTTCTGAAAACATATTTTGTTACAACTTACTTTGTTGACACAATATTTATAAATGAATTTAACATAGTACTTGAGGAAATATTAAGAGTGATCAATTTTTCTCTTGTGCCAAGAAGAAGTGTTGTTATATAAGAAATATAAAAAAAATATTGAAAAGCCTGTGACAATAATTTAATGTTTAATTCGCATTATAAAATGATCTCTTTAATGACTACTCTTAAGGTATGGTTGATTAATAGCTGTACTTCATGATAACAATTGAAGATATTTTTATAAATAAGTGCTGAGTCTTGGCTGTTTATCAACAATTTTATCACGTCTTTTTTTTACAAGGCTTAAATACTATTAATCTTGCTTTAAACCACCATGGATTATTCAAAGACAGAAATTAATCTCTTGAGTGATGTTTAGGAAAATGTACAATTGTATTATAATTTATTTGGTAAATTTACTTTAATGTAAAGGAAAATCTACTTTTCTCTCAGCAGGCAGGAATTGAATAATAAGCCCCTATGTCGACTACCCATTGGAAAAACGCGTAGATATATATCATATCTACATCTTAAAGATATCTATTAGGTCGCAGGGGAAAAGAGAGACCACAGTCTCTAGGAAGCAAGAAATGAAGAGCAAAAAAATTACATGGTTTTTTTGGTGTTTTTTCCAAGTTTTTACTCAAGCTCAAAAGTCGACGATGGCCACTTATCACCTACTTGGGTTTCTAGAGTTTCCATTCAAAAACTGCCACACAAAAAACATGTTATCGCCTGTAAAAACAATCGCACAACCTTCGCCCCTTCGTTTGTCGGTCGTCAATGGTACTTTGGAGTGCCTCTTGTTAAAAATATATAGGAGGTTTGTGTCATACGCCGATCAGTACTCTGAAGCGATTATGACCACGATCTTACTCATTTGCGGCACCCTGTTCATCGCCGTCGGTGAGACCTCGCTGGCCTTTTCCTTGGATGGCTACGACAGCAAGATTGACAGTCCTTTAGGGCCAAAATCTATGGTAAGAATCGACAAGAAACCGTAGTACGTCTATCTGAAGATATTTTCCAACAAGGAACCATTATGAGCGACGTGTGCCAAATCAATTCAATTCTAATGGATCCGTAGGTCGTTACCGATCCGTCGGGTATTCGTATCCTCGCTGTGTTGGTCTGTCAGCCTTCCATTTGGCCGTCTTCAGTGGTGGGTCAGTGTCTCAGTCAAGTCTTATATCCAACACAGCAAGGATTGGAGGATCAGGATGATCGGTAACTGACTAATTACATGTATGTCACTTCGGTCTCTGTGGTAGAAAAAAATTAGTTTAAGGCAAAAATAAAAGTTGTATTTAATTTAAAGGAAGCAGGTAGATCAAGCGGACACATATATAGAAAGGTCCTCATTAACATGGATAGGGTTTTGGGCTGGATCCACATATTTGTTTTGCGTCATTGATTTCGCTTTCCCCGGAAGTGCGCATCGGTCAGGTCAGGGTTAGGATTAATGTTTGGTCAGACTTGAGTTAGGGTTAAAGACGGGTTTGGTTTAGTGTTTGGGATCAAGTAAGCATACGTTTGACTTTTCGAATGTTGAAATAATTGACAAATTACTCAGAAGAAGAAGAAAAGAGGTTTTACGTACTAAAACGGAAAATAATAATTGTAACTTTCAAACAGATGCTATCTATTTTATCTTGGTTATCTATTTGCCTCGGGTGGCGTGTTCGATATCACAACAGTTAACAGCCCTTTAGGTCCATAATAAATTGAAAAAAATTAGATAAAATCATAATATCTGCATTTAGGAAATGCCTGTTTTCAGTGTTACAAGTATCGACCACTTTTTCTCTTACGAACGCTCTGGATCAAGGTTCTTGAAGAAGAAGAAAGCAAATTTAGTTGCAATTGGCAAGCTTTCGACCTATTTTAAGGTTGTCATCAGGGCCTATATTAATTTCACATTGTGAAAAACAAATTTGTACGATTGATTCAACAATTAATATAATTATAATAATAAGTGGGAAGTTTATGGGCCAACAAACAGCTGAGGTCATCGCCGGCCCNAGTTTGGCAGGGTTAATTCTATTTCTTCGAGCCCAGCGGGTTTCCCATTCTTTTTTTACTGATAATATAATTATATACAACATACAAAACAACCTTAAATATGTCTACAGATTGACATATTTAAGGTGTTTTTCAGGTGATTTCAAGTCACATGTAATGACTGGGAAGAGCGCTCAACAGTTAAACAAACGCACTGACATATTGTCAGTTTCACGACGTATTATATCACGGATATATAAATAATTATATCCTTATAAACTTACCTAACCTAACACTAACCCTAACCTCACCTAACCTAATCAAACTCCAATTCCCATATTTTTGTTCCTTCAGTTTTGGGTCTGAGACGGAATACAGGTCCATTAGAATTGGAGTGATTTGGCACATATGCAAAACTGGATATTTGTATAACCTAACTCATCCCTAATACTATATATAAGATCTTCATAAATTGAACTTAAGCCCATAGTATCTGTTTGAATGTTACAATTATTATTTATATATACTTGAAATTGAATGTTTTGATAGTCCAGTATGAGTTCTGGATTTATTGCCACAATCAGAAATATGACAATAAGTTCTATTTTTAATTCTCTGTTCTGTTTGACCAATGTATTTGGTTGGGCATTCACTACACGATAACCTACATTTGATAAATTAAACTTTTCTTCCTTATCCATGAGTTTAGTATGTAAAGAGCTCATTTTAGTTTTGTATTTGTAACAACAATTGATTTCGGGTATGTATTTCTTGATCATATATTTTAATTTGAGCGAAATCACCGGGACGTACGTTTATAGTCTTGACCGTTGTCCATATTTCTATCGTTTTTTTTCACCATTTATTAACTTTCTTAAATTAATATCTAACAATCTATTAACCAATGTCTTTGGATAGTTGTTATTTCTTAAAATTCGGAAAGGTCGCTCTCTAACCTCACTCCAGAAGCATGTGCTGTTGAGTGGCAAAGCTCTATGTATCAAATTATTAGCACAATTCAGTTTTTGACCAAAAGAGTGAGAAAAAATAATTGAAATATCTGTCAGAGCTGATATCTTTTGTGTACCACCTATGCATCAATGTGCCCGCTGGACTTCTGATCACTTCCACGTCTATATGAGTAATAGAGCCACTATTTTCCCACTTCATATATGATTTATATATGCTCATGATAACTATTAAAAAGGTTAAGGAGCTTGTCTAAATTATCACTTGGAAAAATCAGAAACAAGTCATCAACTTACTTACATATGAGCTTAATATTATAAGTGACCTGATCTAAAACCCTGTAAATCAAATCATTCATTAGACTATCCGCAAAAATGGTGGACAAATCGCCACACCATATTACACAGTAGATGTAATAGTCGGGTTGTAATATATTGTGCCCTTTAAGAGCTACTGTATGCCCCGTTCTCTGCCTAAAACACACCGGTGAGTCCTATTTCATCAAGGAACTCAATTAATAGGCCCGGTTTCAATGATTGAATCTCTTTCTATAGTCATATTGTACATCCCAAAGCACTTCCTCCTGCAGGCAATTGTAGCACCGCAGTTTGTTAGTAGGTGTGTTTGTGTCTCCTCTGCCTCTTTGCAGAATCTGCATGTGCTGTCTTGGATTATTCCAATCTTCTTTACGTGGCCATTTAGCTTACAGTGTCCTGTTAAGAATCCTGTCAGGATTCGCAGTTTATTCCTGCTGCCATTGACACATTCTTCTTTTCTTCCAAAATTTGTTAGGAGATTCTTGGATTGCCTATGTCCAATGAGTGAATTCCATTGTTCCTTCATTTTATTTTTGTCCTTCTGTCTGAGATACTCGTTGATAGTGTGGGTTCCTATGCCACAGAAGAGTTCTGGGTCCTATCAGCACTGTGACAGCTTCCTTGCAAGGGTGTCCGCTTTCTCCTTGCCTTCTACTGCCATGTGTCCTGGACCCAGTAGAGGCTGACTTTCTTCTGCGTACCTAATATGTTTAATTTGGTTTTGCAGTTCAGCACCATCCTTGAACTAATGATATTTGAGCTTAGCTTTGATGGCTGCTTGGCTATCTGACATGATAGCTATGAACATGTTTTTGTACCCTTTAGTCATGTTGAGTTGAGTACTCTCGATTGAATATCAGCTTAGAAGATACTGGTGTATTTTCCCATGGGTTCTGAGTATTTGGTTCCAGGACCGAATACTCCGCTACACCATCAAACTGCACATATATTTTGTTAACATATTTAAAATAGCCATTCATATACTGAATGAACACAATGAACAAATCAAACGGCACATTGATAAATTCGCACACGTTTTTTCAGCGTTGATATATGAGGCGAATTACTATATTCAAGGGAATTGAAGTAAGCAAAGGTTTAATATCGAAGGAAACCAAAAGATCCTCTTCATCTACCTTAATATTTTTTATCTTTTCACTGAACTCAAACGGATTTTTGATATTGTATTTGTCCTTACACAAGGTCTAACATTTGGCTTTAACGCATTTTGAAAGATTGTAAGACGGTGATTGACTTCCACAGACTATAGGTCTTAGAGTACCTTCTTTGTGTACTTTCGGTAGCCCATACATTTTAGGGGAAATCGAGTTGTGGATTTTTAATCTTAAGCTTTCACTCTTGTCAATACAACCAATTTCTACAACCTTGTCGACAGTGTGGGATCGTTTTTAATTTCCTTGTTTAATTTTTTGTACTCGTCTTTATGCATTAGAACAGTTCTCTTTCCCTTGTCAGCTTTGACGTAACAGATTTGTTTTAAAAGTGGTTTGGTTTTCCTAATCAAATCAATCATTTTTATGTCTTGATTATTTTTCCAAAAGAAAATACCGTTTCTCATTACGTTAGCAGCCTCAACCCTAATCAAATCTTGCATTCTACTAATTTTCAACCCTATTGACCATCACCTCCAAATCCGTAATTAGTTCAAATACACGAAGGTTTATGTTCATTGTATGGTAAATTGAAGTTACCGCCAAGTTGAAGTATCTCAATTACGCCTTTATCAATTTTACATTAGTTTTATTCATTAAATTGTCCTCTTTGTTTCTACGGGCTAAAGATCTCTTTTTAACTGGCACAAAAGAAACGAATTTCCGTCCTAAATTATTATTCTTATAAAACGCTTTGTCACAGAAATTTTGCTGATTTTTTAAAAATGTGTTTAGCAATTGTACACGACAAACCACTTTTATATTACCTATTACATATTCAATTTTACGTATATTATTATCAAATTACGTATTTATTACATTTTTTCTAATAAAAAATAGAATTTATGGTCGTATCTTTGATTGTGGCAATAAACCCAGAACTGGTACAGGACTATCAAAACATTCAATATCAAGTAGGCATAAATTTCATTGTTCGAATGTTGAAATAATTAACAAATTACTCAGGAGAAGAATAAAAGAGGTTCTACACATTAAAATGGAAAATAATAATTGTAACATTCAAACAGATACTGTGGGCTTAAGTTCAATTTTTGAATTTATTAATTTTAAACAGAGTTCTTTAATAACGAGAGGAGGACCTTCGGGGTGATGTTGCACTACTGTACAGCAATGTTGAGACTGAATCGGTCATCAAGGAAATTTGAGATCGCCTGTAAAAACACATAAATATGCCAATCTGTAGACATATTTAAGGTTGTTTTGTAATTACAATTAATTAAGGTTTTTAGTTGAGAAAAATTTTCATTTGTCGTCGAGAATCCAATGCGATTACACGACATTTGAAAAATGGCAAAAGGAGGGAAAACTCATAAGGTGGGGTTGAGATGGGAAGTTAGTGTCCGAGTGGATCGAGGTCACGATAGCTCAAGTGGTACAGCAGCGGCGTATCTAGCCGAAGATCTGAGTTCGAATCCCGCTCGTGCCATTGACTTTTTTATCTCAACTAACAACCTTAATTAATTGTAATATATTAATTGGTCAAGCGGACCACGAAATTAGTGAATTTAAGTTGTTTTGTAAGTTCCATATAGTTATATTGTTTGCTAAATCAATTGTACGAATATGTTTTTCATAATGTGAAATTAATAATAGGCTCTGATGACGACCTTAAAATAGGTCGAAATCTTGGTATTAGCAACTAAATTTGCTTTCCTCTTCTTCAAAACCATACCTTGATCAGAGTGTTCGTCTAGGAATATCCATTAATTCTTTGTTGGAAGGCACAGGCTTTGAATGAGGAGCGTCAGAAAATTAAAGACTAGTAAAACTTGATAGAATTTTTATCAACGTATACGCCAAATCAGTTCATTTCTAATGGACCTGTATTCGGTATCAGACCCAAAGCTAAAGAAACAAAAAAATGTGGGATTGGGGTTTGTTATGTTAGGTCAGGGTTGATTAGGTTAAGTCAGTCAGGGTTTGGTCAGAATTAGGGTTAGTTTTTAGTTAGGTTTCAGTCGTTCAGGGTTAGTTTACTATTAGGGATGAGTTAGGTTATAAAAATATCCAGTTTTGCCTTGGAGGCATATGTGCCAAATAACTCCAATTTTAAAGAACCTGTATTCCGTCTCAGACTCAAAACTGAAGAAACAAACATATGGGGATTGGAGTTTGATTAGGTTAGGTCAGGTTAGGGTTAGTGTTAGGTTAGGTAAGTTTATAAGGTTATAATTATATACATATCCGTGATTTAATGTCGTGAAACTGACATTATGTCAATGCGTTTCACTGTTGAGCGCTCTTGACAGTTATTATATTCCTTTACATTAATTGAGTAATTATATTCCATACTTATCATAAATGTCAATGTACATACCGTAAAAAATGTCCAACGTTCTATGTCAATATGTATATGTATATCAATAAAATTGCAAACCTCTATCAGGGTGGTGTTTATTTTGCAGTCGCGATGGTTTTACATACAATATACAGGGAAATTAAGAATAGTTGATATGACCCAATACTTTCAACGAAACATCACTCAGCATTTTACATTTTTTATCTATTTATTTTTTAACGTTCGTTGAGGTATTTGTCAAAGTGGCCATCAATTTCCAGTGAAGAGCTTATTTATTTGCGAAACGACGTATTTTCGATATAAATATTTGTTTTGGCTTTGTTTTTATCACGAAATTTGGCAGGGATAAAATAATACAAGGATGACATAAATTACAACCCTTACAAACGTTGTCGTTTGATGGAATTATGTATTAAAAGTTTCAGCTTTTCGCCATTTTCTGTCTTTTTTTGTGGAATTTAAAATAAAAATTTAAAATGTTACACACAAATGAATTTCTTGTGATATTAGATATAGATATACCTAATTATGTCACAATGGCAATATCCGAAAGACTGACAGGCGTTAATTGATTGCGAGGTTGTCCAAAATAAAACGAACGAGGTTCAACACCCCTCACTCCGAAAAGAAATCTTCTAAGTTTGTGGTTTTGTGGTCTGCAATTAAAGTGATGGAGATTTGATCACTATGCTGGATCTGTTTACCTTTGTCTGACTCCTAAAGTTGGTCATCGCGAGAGAGTAGTCATCACATTATTACGAGATCTTATTTTTTAACATGTAAATCTTGTTTTGGAGGATAGGCCGATATGGTTCTGCCTCACGGATACCCTCTGGAAGAGCACGAGATCGAGACGGAAGATGGCTACCTCCTGACAGTTTACAGAATTCCTTACGGACTCAATAACTCGGCCCAGGGCTCCAGGCGTCCCCCGCTTTTCCTCCAACACGGCATTTTGAGCAATTCCGCCTGCTGGGTACTCAGCGATCCTTCTAAAGGACTAGGTCTCGAACTGACCAATACAGGTTTTATGAAGTGTGCGAGTAAGTTTCATTCATTTTTGTTAACAGCATTCATTCTGGCTGACGCCGGGTACGACGTGTGGATGGGCAATTCTAGAGGCTCCACCTACAGCAGAAAGCACAGGACGCTCAATCCGGACATCGACAAAGCACAATTTTGGAACTTTTCGTACGTATGAATTTCCTGTATTTTCTTATCTTTAAATATTGCATTTTAAACGGTATCCAATATTAGGCCTTGTATAGAAATACCGTTACGTGACAGTGAAGAGAACATTTTCGCATAGCAGTGACGTGCGCAGGGATTAGGTTGTGTTCCGGCAAGGTTAGGTAGGGTTAGGCTTAGTTAAAAACGTTCCCCTCCGGGAAATTGACCCTAGTATTTGATCAATAATAGTTCAATCATTAATCCTATGAGAACGGACCACGTCCGCAACTTTAAAGAGACAAGACCCTACTCGGAACCGCTCCACCAATGGGCAGAGTAGAAACCGTCAGCATTATGATACCAGGCCACCTACACACCTAAACCCTACTCCCAAGAAAAAGATAAACCTTGGAGGGTTGAAGAAATAGAATCAGAAACTCCAACCTTAAAGAGAACCGTACAGCAGGGTTGTCGAAATTCTCCCGAAGTCGTATAACTATTTTTTAACCAAATTAACACTTTTTTCATCCAAATTAAACCATTTTTCAACCGCATTTAAACCATCGTAATTATGAGGATTGGGTATTAAAAATATGTAAATTCCGAGAAACTGAAAGAGAACAACAAACAATGTGTATTGAACATTGTTATGAAAAATACTGTACCATTGTTATATAAATATTTTATCAGTGTAGAACATTATGAAAGGTTAATTCACTATTTTCGTGGTCCGCTCGACCAATTAATACATGACAATCAATTAAGGTTTTTAGTTGAGATGAAATGGGGGGTTGAGATGGGGAGTTGATGTCCGAGTGGATCGAGGTCACGATAGCTCAGGCGGTAGAGCAGCGGCGTATCTAGCCGAAGGTCGTGGGTTCGAATCCCTCTCGTGCCATTAACTTTTTTTCATCTCAACTAAAAACCTTAATTGATTGTCATGTATCAATTGGTCGAGCGGACCACGAAAATAGTGAATTAATGATTTAAAAATGAAGTACACTTCACTAAAGCTCTCCGTCGCCATTTCAATTGTCGTCGAGAATCCAAACCGATTACACGACATTTGAAAAATGGCAAAAGGAGGGAAAACTCATAAGGTGGGGTTGAGATGGGGAGTTGATGTCCGAGTGGATCGAGGTCACGATAGCTCAGGCGGTAGAGCAGCGGCGTATCTAGCCGAAGGTCGTGGGTTCGAATCCCTCTCGTGCCATTAACTTTTTTTCATCTCTACTAAAAACTTTAATTGATTGTCATTATGAAAGGTATTGTTGAAATATTTTTTTGTTGTTGTTATTGTTGTTGTTGTTGTTTTTTTCAAATAATTAATTTTATAAAAAATTATATAAATATATATACATATTTTTAGATCAATGAAATGGAAACAACAAATGCAGCTTCAGCACACAGTGCAGTCCACTGTTGAAATTCCGTTAACGCTGCTGCCTATGAGCTCACTGAGTTCCAGTATGTTGGAAGTATCACCCAATATATGCCTTGCAGTCGTCTTTATTTTAGAAAAGGCTGGGTTAAGAATAGGGGAGTACGGTGGAAGATACTTGATTGAATGTAATGTAGATCCAACTTCAGCTGTTTTCTTTATGGTAGCGTTATCCATAATGAGAAATGTGCCGTGAAGAGACATCTGATCAAGTATGAGCACAGTTCAGTCAAAAACTCCCGAAACCGAGCGCTGTTGCGACTTCCGGTCGAGATGACGTAAGAATGGACGTAATATATGTAGAAATCGGGTACACCCGATGACGCCTCTTGATTTGACATGATGTGGGCTAAGTCCGAACATAGACGGGTTCCGGGTACAAGCGAGCATCTTTTTGACGACTCTTCCTCAATATGTAGATCTCATTCTACCCGGACTCCAACCAAACGCCACCAGAAGGCGTGAGGGCTGGACCGCCTTAATTAGAAAGTCCTCTCCGACATATAAAATATTGACCAAATATTAATATAAACAATGGTACAATCTTTTTCATTGCTAGTTATTCAGATGTCGTGAGATGCGGTCGGGTGTAATGTAGGTTTCAGAAAAACATTTTCTTTATCGTGCCACGTTTCGATCTTTATTGAGATCATCTTCAGGGCCTGGGATTTACAAACATTGTTTACATTTAACAAATACATTTAGGATGTGGATAAGTGAATTTATACAATGGAAAATATATTTTATATTCAAACAAAGTATTTCTGCTCACTCAAAGTGTTTGTCTTCTGTGTAATGCCATCCTTGCGTGTCGTGGTGAGAGTGCCAGTGAGATTTTGCTGTTTTATGTTTATATATGTTTGGTTTTGAAGGGGTGGGGAAGGAAGTCGGTATGTAAAAGACAATTTTGTGCAAGGCGTCGGCTAACGTAATTTCTTAGAAATGGTTTATATCAACAGAGATAAACACAGCATCAATTTGATCTGATTTTTTTCAGCGATTGAAAAAAAGGTTTAATTTGGTTGAAAAAAAGGGTTAATTTCGTTGAAAAAAGAGTTAATTTGGTTGAATGAAAAAAGAGTTAATTTGATTGGAAAAAAGGGTTAATTTGGTTGAAAAAAGAGTTAATTTGATTCGAAAAAAAGGGTTAATTTGGTTGAAAAAAGGTGAATTTGATTAAAAAGAAGTTTAATTTGAGTGAAAACTCCTATACATTCACAAAATATACACTGAATGCCAAAATGTAGTAAATTTCCCCACTTTATGCAAAATAGCGTAATAGCTGGGACATGACTAAAAGCCTGCGAAAGAAACTCATATTCAAAATACCCAAAACCTGGGGAAACGCACAACCTGGTGATATCTTGGGTACTAGGGCAAAAGGGATTTTAGGTAACGAAAAAGCAGACACACTGGCCAGAGGAGGTTCTGCAAAACTATATGCCCTGAACCCACTGTTGGGATAACATAAACAAACACAGAATCCTGCATCACAGAATGGTTCCAAAATGATAAAAGGAGAAGTGGACAAACTCTAGAGGTGCTAGACACAGTAAGCCTTTGCCAAACAACCCTAAACAAGACTGATAAACTTACTGTTATATTACAATTAATTAAGGTTTTTAGTTGAGATGAAAAAAAGTTAATGGCACGAGCGGGATTTGAACCCAAGATCTTCGGCTAGATACGCCGCTGCTCTACCACCCGAGCTATCGTGACCTCGATCCACTGCTTGGGGAACAAAAAAAAACACTTTCTATTATCCAACATCGCCATTGTATCGCTGCTATCAGTGATGGGAAAGGTGCTAGAACTTCGCATGCACATGGCAGAGAAACCTTCGAAGCTACGCACTAAATCTGAAGCAGTATAAAGGCGTTTCAGGAAAAGCGACAACGCCACAATCCTCCATCTCAGGATGGGTCTACAAGAAATAAACAGATATTTAGATCGACTAGAAAAACCTTTATTGGAACACTTATCGGCCTAAGCCTTTTTGCTGCACAAACACCTTGGTACTTAGACCATTATTGGTCAAGGCGCGCAAAGTCTTAAATAGGTCGAATCGTTTTAGCCGTAACTTAACCTTAACGTAGGGACGGGGTAGGTTACATATCCGTGATTCTTATATTTTCCTTGAGGCGCATAAAATATTTGAGTACGATTTTAAGGATTTGATGGACTTCATGGCTTAGTACATCTTGTAAATTTGTGTTATCATTTTCCCCCTATCACATCATGTACTATGCTCTACACTTTTCCCGGAGGACACCAGAGTCTAAAGGCGTTTCAGGAAAAGCGACAACGCCACAATCCTCCATCTCAGAATGGGTCCACAAAAAATAAACAGTTATTTAGATAAACGACGGCTATTGTCGTCTAAAGCGACGTGAAGGATTCTGGGGATGTGAAATAGTAGAGAAAGCTTGAATGAAAGGACAAACTTGAAACGGAAGATTAGAGTAGAACTTGTTTAAGCCATTGTGGATAGTGAGGTTAGAGACGTAGTGAGGAGTTTGGATAGTTTTTCTTAAAACTTTCGATTGGAAGGGTTGGATATTGGATGACTGCGTGGTTAACCCACAGTTCATATCCATATGTCCAAATTGGTCGAAGTCATTTTTTTACAGTATTCTTTGTTACTGATTTTGATGTTAGTTGTCCAGGTCTTCCGTTCAATTGTTGTCGTTTCAGTCTGCTGTAGGGGTATATCCCTAAGTAATTCCTTGTTATTGGCGTATAAGTTTTGTCTTTATTCAATATGATGATGGTGTTAGTGGATATTGGTAGTGACAAATACATTCTGGCTCGTACATAACATTGCAGTATAGAGAGTGGATTGGCAAGTAAGCAGTATAAATACATGATGAGACCAACAGTACTCCTGTGTGAGACGCCTGGTCTTAATTCGGAGAACTTATTACCGCACCTTACTTAGAAACAATAATCGATAGGACTTTAGGATTAGGCCATAAAAAGTCAGTAGGAAAGTTTGAAGAGAACTCTCGAGTGCTCCCCTTGAAGTGAATTTATTCTTTTTTCTGTGGTTTATTTCGATTATGCAATTCCCCTGTGGTCGGTTTAAATATCTTCACTTCTATTGGCGAAACTTCCTGCTGTTGTCCAACAGCAATTCGGAGTCCATGCCCAGCAAACACTTTTATATCACACGAGCTGATCTTGATTTCGTTCGAAACAGGAAGCCATATTTCAAACCTACTTGGACCACAGTCGATCACTATTAGATACTTTTGGCTTCTATGGTGAGTTCTATCGCAGGCTATTCTGAACCGCACATTCTCAACCTTACAACAAATAGGTGCGGGGTCACTTGACAAACACTCTCAGCAACTCTGTATCACTTGGTCTTGAAAAATTCCTTTCCGGATACCTCAGTTTCACTACATAAAAGGTCCGGTCGACCATACATTGATTCTTGCAATGTAGGCCGTTTATCAATGAGAATCTCTCGGGGTCGAGAACTTGATTTAACGTAACAGTCCTATCCTGCCTAAGAAAGCACCGGATAGGAGTACTGACAGAAGAAACACTGTGCAAGTAACGCCAGGAAGAAGAGGAGACCGCAGAACAGGTTTTATGTTTCTGTGAAGGTTTATGTAGGTGTAGATTCTTGCAATTAGGAGAGGAAAAGCTGCAAGCAAGATCCTACACTATGAATCCGCTGGAAAAGCTTTGGAGGTGATTAACAACCTGAAACTAGCCAGTGATTTATAAAATTAGAAGAGCTCTATAGATCTACTCAAGTAGAGGTGGAGAAAGCCATGTGGACACCTCTTTTATACCTATCCCTATCCAGCTCGCGGACGAAATGGCATCTACGAAAACATCGTTGCATTGTGGAGGGGCAAGGACGGAAACCGAATTGGTAAGGCGTTTTAAGGATTTTAACGTCACTAAGAATAGGCTGATTCGTCTGAAGGAGAATAATTGACAGGAGACTTGTGAGGTTTAAGTATGAGTATTCATGGTATTTCCATAGAATATATAGTTTAGTTTTTAAAAATAACTATTATAGTACAGTATTAAGATAGGTTATAAGATCATGAAGTAAGTGGTTGTTTCAAAGTGTCGTGTTTTTCCATCTTCAATTTCATCTTTAGGTTCCACGAGATGGGCTACTACGATTTGCCTGTCGTCATCGATTTCATCCGTGAAAGGACAAAAGAGGACAAGGTCACATACGTCGGTCACTCCCAAGGGACGACGATTTACTTTGTGCTGGCGTCCACGAGGCCGGAATACAACGACAGGATAAAAGTGATGTCAGCTTTGGCACCGATAGCTTTCCTAGGCCATACAAGAGGCACCGTACGACTGCTCACGAGGTTCAGCTTCATTTTAACAGTAAGCTACTTGTTCTCCTGGCCGTGTTCTTTTTTTTTTCACTTTTCTTTTCAAAACCTAGAAAATCATTCAGTGGTGGGGTATTTACGAGCTCTTCCGCGATAATTTCCTCCTACATTTCTTAGTCGGCGAGATTTGCAGGCGGAGAGCTTTCACGAGACCAATTTGCGACAACACCCTATTCTTATTCGCCGGTTTCGACTCCCAACAACTAAATAGCGTAAGATTCAACTTTATCATCTTTAGTCAATAAAAACTATAAACCACCTGCTCATTATTTTATTAGAGCTTAATACCAGAAATAGCGGATCACTCACCTGGAGGAGCATCTTCAAAGCAATTTATTCACTTTGGCCAACTTGCTAACAACGGTAATCTACTTGTTTTCTTTAGTTTGTTTAACGCTGTCTAATTTTTCATCGCAAAGGGGAAAAGTTTCGAATGTTCGACTACGGTCGTGACAACAGGAATCACTACGGGTCAGACGCACCGCCGGAGTACCCCTTGGGAAAAGTAACTTCGCCGGTTATATTGCAATTCTCGGACAACGATTGGCTCGCTGGTATAAAGGTAATCCTTCGTATCTGATCAGCCTGATGTCAAATATTTCTCGATGGTCAAAAAAATCGTGTGTTTCAGGACGTCGAGAAACTCTACGGGAGCCTTCCGAACGCCAGGAAATTCGAAGTCCCTTATCCTTACTTCAACCATCTGGACTTCTTGTGGGCGATCAACGTCAGAGAGGTCCTTTACGATCCTCTTATCAAAATGTTAAAAGAATATCAATAAATTTAATTCGCATGTACATAAATGTTTTTTTTTTCAACTAGTGGTGACCCTTCTACGTCTCCGTTTTAACCTCCCGTGAAGATTATTAAGAATAAGACAAGATGTTAAGCTAAGGACTAAAAGATTTATAACTTCGTGGCATCTGATGGTACTTTTGAATCTCACGAACACTCTGGATCAAGGCATGGTCTTGAAGAAAAAAGAAAATTCAGTTGTTACTACCAAGCTTTCGACCTATTTTAAGGTCATCATCAGGGCAAAACATTCTTAAATATGTCTACAGATTGATATATTTAAGTTTTTTCATGCGATCTCAAATTTCTTGAAGACCAACTCAGTCCTAACATTGTCAAGTTCTGTAACAGTATTGCAACGTTAAAAATGTATTTTTTTAGTTAGATAATTTTTTAAGATTGCAATACGGTCACAGTTCTTATTAGGACTGAACCTGTCTTCAAGGATATAAGAGATCGCCTGTAAAAAAACTGACGATGACCTTAAAATAGGTCGAAAGCTCGGCAGTACTGAATTTTTTCTTCAAAACCATACCTTTCAGAGTGTTCGTAAGTGAAAAATCGGTCGATACTTCTAATACTGAAAGCTGAAATTTTGTATCTCTACAGTCTGCACTTTTTAATCCAGTGTGGGTTAAAAATTCTTTAATCATTTAATTAGGTACAATCCGAAATAACGGACATGAGTATTGTAATGACTCTGAATGTAGTGGGTTCTGTGTTATACTGGAGGAAGATTTATTTGTTTAAGTTGACGTCTATTGTATGGGATTTGTGTTCATTGATTTTGTTTCAGGCTGTGTGGATGGAGAGATTTTTTTTTAAATTTAACTCGGCTGTGATAGGGGTTAGGAGAGAGGACAGCCGTATCATCGGCTAATTCGATTTCGCGTTACGAGGAGCGCATGGATTGCTTTAAAGACAATTTTAAAAAATCGGCAATATAAGTTTTCATAAATTATAATTGCAAATGAACAAATTTTCTACAATACTCGATCAGAAAAAATTTTAAACAATGCCATAGAGGCTAATGATGGTCGAGTTTGTAGCACTCGATGGTCGAATAAAAGTCGTCGCAGTTTTGACTGTACTGATGGTAACTGTCGTCCCAGTTATTACAAACGTCCGACGATGTGCAGGGTCTTCCGTTTAGCATAGCTTGTAAGTCTTGTATATATTTTATCGCCATCCTAGACATAATGGAATGGTTCAGATTAAAACAAACTTTTAACATTTGACATTGAATTAGATTTTTGCGCAACTGACATTACAATGAAACATGATAAATAAAACTGTATTTGACCCAAATTACCTGAGAGATTCTATTTTGGACAGTTTTTTACCAGGCGGTTTATAACTCGGCAGCATACTCCTCAGTGTGTCGAAAGCTTTGTTCATGTCTTTCATCCTTGTCCGTTCCCTATCGCATGCTGATTTCTTGTAGTCTGTTTCGAATCGTGGAATTAATTTTATCATCGATACACTTCAAAACTTAGAGCTAAAACTGACCTTTGTCGAAACAGCTATGTTTTGACTTCCAACTGGTTTTGACTATGTGATTTTTTGATGGATTATTTTTCTAAAAACCAGAAAGCTATTTAATCGACATGCTTAAAAAAAAATTGAGGAATAAAACAATGGAATACGTGATGATGTTGCTGTGAACATAGGTTAGTGATTGGACAAACATGCCGAGAACACGGCAGCCTCTAGTTCCATCCTAACAAAATCTAACCAATCCCTAACGCTAACCCTACCTAACCTAACCTCGCCTCTCTTGCCCCTAATCATACCTAACCAAGCCTAGCATGTCCCTAACACTAACCTTACCTAACCTAACCACGCCTACCTAGTCTCCCCTACCTGTTGGCACTGCTGGCAGTCAACATTACTTTTGAAGTGCTTCCGTGAATAAAGATGCAGAACTCTTCTATTTAAGGAGGGGCTCAATAGGTTTAAAGCAGACTTGTAGACGAGTTCTCGTATTCACTAATAGAACACGCAGCACACAACTCACACTCGACTGCCCGAGACTATACATCCCGTAGTCAGCCTGCTCGGGAGTCCAGAATGCTAAGCCACCACCTCAAGACCTGTCACTAAACTCCCTTCCCCATGTGCTTAAGGTTAAAAAATCGACACGCTTCACAATATTGTCAAATCAACGGAAGGGCTTGATTTTGTAGTAATCGGGGCCGATGTTATTATGCAGCTGTTGAGTGCTGTCGAATCTCGGACAGTTTTTAATTGGATGGCTGAAACATTGTCGAAATCAGGTTGAAACTTGATTGTCATAGACAGTCACCACAACTGCTTTGGGCACCTTTCACGATATTCCGATAACTTCATGGGGTTTCAGACTAAAAGATCTGCAGGTCTGCAAAAAAGACAAATATCAGCCCTGTTAAGTACACCAATTGGATCCGGGACGACATCCGTAGTGATCTTCGAGCGATTGCGATCCAAATTGAAACCCTCAGAATATCGCAGATAGTTCATGAGACTTCCAGACATACAAATACTTCAAAATTAAAGAAAGATTGCTGGCAAAAATGGGTCCTGATCTGACAGCGCAAATTCTAAGCCATGAGAATTTCACACCTTTCTTCATAAGTATGAAAGGCCAAATCCAGAAGGAGCTGATCGACACAAATTGTCATGAGCAAAAAACTTTCAAACTTGCGGAAATTATAACAATGTAAAAGTCAATTTAGCAATATTAGATTGGCCAACAGTAATCGATGACAGTATAAATACGCAGTTTCAAACTTCACCCATTGTTTACAAAAACCCAACTACAATATTTAAAACAACCATCTCGCCCTCTAACGTCTCGGCAGAATTTAACAATAATCCAACATAACAAATCTCAAAAGATATCATGCAATTCACGGGCAAACTTACATCGTCTGTCAGGTATTTCTGCTCCATTACATTGGAGGGGACTGAATGTTTTTCGGGTGAGACTGGGGAAATGATTGTCTATGAACAAACAGTAAACACCTGCGGCCTGTTTGTTCTTTCTATGTTGAATTTGACGCGGTCTATGACACATTTCTATAAAATATTACCGGCGAACAACCTGGGCATAATTTAATGGTGCAGGCCACTTTTCAGCCCGTGGCTGCCAAAAGTTGTAATTATATAATTTATATGTCGTAATTTTAACCTTAACAAAAATTCCTGGATATTCAAGCACAAATACACATACTAATTACGAAAGAAACGTTAAAAATCTGTTTCGATAGGTTTCCCGACGATTTTACGTATTGACCCTCTTGCCCAAATGTAACACTTTAAAATCAGCACATGAGTTTTTTATGTTTTTTAAATAATTTTTTTACATATAAATAGATCTTAAACCACTATATGAGAGATGGTATTTTGATATTTTAAGATGGAAATAACGTGCTGAAACGATTTTTATTGGTCTATCCCCTGGGAATACATTGACAAGTCCAAGAAAGTTTTTGTAATTTTTTTTATGCAGGGTGTGTACAAACTATGGGACTAAAGAGAAAATTCTCTCTCCTGCTTAAAAAATTGGAGTCATCAAAATCGCTGCGACTCCAACATTGAAGATGTGGACACTCATGACACTCCTCAGCTGTGTCGGAAAAATGTTAGAAAAAGAATTTAAACTTTTTTTTATAATTACCCCAAAGAGTTAAAAAAGCCTCGGCACTAAGACACCCCCACAAAAAAAACTGGCATGATTGTGAGTGCAAGTGGGTTGGGTGTAGGGTTAGAAATAGGTTAGGTAAGGTTCAGTTAAGTAACCTAGGTTAGGTGTTATAACAACTTATGTTAGATAGAGTTGTTGCATAGATTTTGGGTTAGGTATGGTCGGGCTAGGTTATATGGAAGGTGTAGGGTTAGAAATAGGTTAGGTTAGGAATGGTTAGGCTAGAAATGATGAAGGTGAGGTATGTATGTAGATTCACTTTTTGTAAATGATGGTTTTACTCACACATTTGTTGTTTACAATGATCCGGATTTCAAGCATTAAACATTCATCATCAGGTTGAAGGAGTTACAAACACATCTCTTGACATGAATTCTAAGAGTGAACCCGCCGATCCACTGCCAATGCGACGTTCCAATGCTAAGCTGGTTTTTAATGCCACTCAATTTTCAATGTGCGAAAAACATGAATTACAGCGAAACTAAATCTTATCCTTATAAATACTGTAATTTTAAATTAAACATTTGTACGTCAAATATTACTTAGGTACATGTTTAAACTCAGACGCGTCCTCTGCGCATTAGGGCCTAAGACATGACTTCTCTTTAATGTTGCCCTAAAAGGGGGGTGATCGGAAATCCAAATGGTGGTACCGCCTTTAATTGGTAGAAATGCTGACCTATGCTGATGATATTGGTATCATTGGAAGGAGTTTCGGTGCAATGAGTGAGGCAAAACTTCAGGAAGTGGCGATGAGTATGGTATTGTCCATAAGTATTGTCCAAAAATTCAAAATTTGTTAGCAGACCTCTGAGGTAATCTGCTGGAGGACCAGATGGTGTTAGGGCTTTAAGACCGTGAATACCTTTGTCTATCTTGGCTTACTGGGAACTAGTAACATTGATATAAATGCTAAAATCCAGCAAAGAATTATAGCCACCAACCGCTGCTATTTTGGAATGGTGAGTCATTTGAACAGCCACGTCCTATCCTGTGTGACCAAAATACATCAACAAGCCCTCACTGCTCAAAATGTTTGACGACTTTCACTAAAACCCAGGAGGAATTACAGTTGATTCAAACAATTTGGAAAATATTAAGGAAAATTTTGGAGCGGTTTTTGACAGCAGTAATTTGACGTGGTGCAAAAGAAATAATGTGGAGGTAATGGTTTTGTATGAAGTCTGTAATGTTGATCAGTTCATAGCAATTGGATTGAGATGGGCCGGGCAAGTGGCCAGAATAGTTGAGGACTCTGTTCCAAGTGCCCTTCTATAAGAAAAAATTTACGACAACGCATCAAGAGGATTTCAGGGCTGCAGCTAAAGATAGGGCTCTGTTTCAAGAGATCTTTTTTTTAACGAGGGTATTTAAACTACAAGGTTATATAGGTTCAAACCTGGAACCTTTACCTTAGTAATGAACACCATTTCAACGCCTAAACCGTTGCGGCCACCGACACCCCTCATTGATAGGTTTAATAATTGTTAAACAAACTTAAACATTATGGTGAAATCTGTAAGGTGAAGGTGTACCTATTAGGTCCTGTATATTTTTCAGACATCTTCACTCGATTCAGCATCAATGGGTATTGAAATGGTTAGGTTACTGTTTACAGTTATAATTTGTGATAACCATTTAATTATTTTCATGTGTTTGATGTATTTACAGCTAGAACTACATTACATTAGGTTAGGTGAGGTTGGGTTAGGTTATGTGGGTTTAGGGTTAGAAATAGGTTAAGGACGGTTAGGTAGGATGGGTTAGGTTAAGTGACTAAGTTAAGAATGGTTAGGTTAGGTTTGATGGGTTTAGGGTCAAAAATAGGTTAGGTAGTGTTGGGTTAAGTTGGACCATTGGTAAGCTCGATAATAATTAAACATTGTCGTGAATGTGTAGCTCATCAGGTCCTGCATATTTTTTGACCATTTCTGTCGATTCATCCAAGGATATTGGGTTTGTAACTGTACAGCAGCTCAACATATTGTGTAAAAATATTTATTTGTAAAAATTTATACTCTTTCAATTAATTAACACTTAATTGCTCTTATAAAACTTACATTTTTTATAGTACAATTATTTCAAATATTATTACAAGTAGCAAAGGAAGTCAATGTTTATAAAATGATTTCCTAAGATTACATATCAATAAAAACTGTACCTTATTACTGTACTTTATTAAGAGTACAGCAATTTTTTTAATAATAATAATAATTAATCGCAATATTAAAAAATAAAACTTAATTATTCAGTCGGTAGACCACATGTTCAGCAGAAGAGTATCCTGTGCAATTTGGGAGCCACCATTTTTATTTTAAATTTTGTTTTTTAAACACATTTCAGTCAACACTCCTTCAGGACATAGTCCATGTCGTTTGTATTTGTAGTACATTGTAACACAAGAAGATGTTTTCTATTGTGAATCTTAATAAAAGTGCATTTATAATTATTATATAAAAAATTAGAAGAAAAAAAAGTTATTCAGCAATTTTTTCAAACTCTCAAATTTACAAATTGTACAAATTTACAAACAAAAAATACTTTCAAAATAATTATTTAATTATTTTCATTATAAGATAATTGAAAGAAGAAAACATGGAACAAACATAATGGAACAAAACATGGAGCAGAAAAACTAAAAGAAAATTCAAAACTTGAAATGAAAAAAAAAATTAAGAACACACATTTTAAGAAAATTAGGCAAAATTGAAAATTATTTTGGTTGAGCTGACTTATTAAGGCCAATTTTAATTGGTTTGAGCCAAGCTTTTTCATTGTATTTAATCGGTTTTGAATTTTGCTTTGAGTTATTTCGCGCAGCGTGCGGTTGTCTTGATGAACTTGGACCGGGTTCGTTTAAAGTCAACTTTTTACCCAGTTCCTCTGACAGTTCTTCTGACAAATTGTATTTGTCCTGTGAATTGTCAGTAAATTTCTTACAGCCGTCAACTTGGACATTGTCTTCCTTATTTTTTGAAGTAGAAGCCTTTGCCTGCTCTTTCTGCGAACCAAACAAAATTCACAAAACTAAGGCGGTGTGACAACGGATATTTTAAAAAATAGCAAATTAGCATTAACTGAACTTAAAGACAATAGAACCAGTCTAATATATAAAAGTGCACACAATACAAAGCAGTAGTTAATAAAGTGTTTTTTTTCAATGATCCAGATTTCAAGCTTTTAGCTCATCATCAGGTTGTAGAACTCCTTCAACCTGATGATGAGCTAAAAGTTCGAAATCCAGATCATTGGAAAACAACTTATTGTGAGTAGGATATATATTTTTAAAAGGAATGAACACCACACTCACTCCACCATAAAGTGTGTGAACTATAAAAATTAGATTAAATTCACTAATTTCGTGGTCTGCTTGACCAATTAAACATTACAATTAATTAAGGTTTTTAGTTGAGATGAAAAAAAGCTAATGGCACGAGCGGGATTCGAACCCACGACCTTCGGCTTGATACGCCGCTGCTCTACCACCTGAGCTATCGTGACCTCGATCCACTCGGATATCAACTCCCCATCTCGTGGGTTCGAATCCCTCTCGTGCCATTAGCTTTTTTTCATCTCAACTAAAAACCTTAATTAATTATAAAAATTAGACTATATCATCATATTTTGTTCTCCCACCACAAACTATCAAATTAATTATTTTTGTAAGGTTAAAATAGACAAGGCATATGTTAATTTCTAATAACATTTAATTATAATGTAGCTATAAAAGTTTAGAGGGACAAAACTCAACAATTCAAATTAATAAAGAAAACTCAGCACTGCATATCTTGAGTGTGTATTTTAAGGTTATTATAATTATCCTAGTGACCTGATGGGCAATATCCCCATTCTCATTCTAGAGTCGGAATCATAGAATGATATAATTTATGAATGTGGGCAAACTGATTGCGAATATAAATTCGATAGCAAGCAAACTGTAACATTGTCAGTCGTTTTCTTTTCTCATTTCATTATGGGTATTTTGGGGTCCCATTGTGATTCGCGACATGGATAAATCAGTGGGTACAACAGGGGATCACAATGAGGTATTGAAAAATTGTCTTTGAACTGTTTTGACAGTAGTGCACAATGATGTGTCTATGGCCTAGCGATACTCCTGAAGAATCGAAAACTTGAGCTATTTCTTCTGCTGTAGGTTTGTTAAATCTACGCACATCCATTGTACATCAAGTTAAAACCTCCGTCTTGCATTGTTTCAGCTGCAGTCCTATAAGCTTCATAAGGATTTTTAGGCAAAATGCCACCAAGGGTCAAAATTGTGCGGTCTAGTTTTTTTTATTTTCTGGGTGTCCTGAACGCTCATCCACAGCTTTGGAGGGGTCTATAAAACATAACTGACCATAAGACGCAACTTCAATCTCAGTGGCAACAAATTCGATATGAATCAGAGAATCTGTCCTTATATTTTAAAACAGTAGGGTCCAACCATTTCCCATAGAGCAAGCCCAGAAAATTTACCTTTGATTAAACAATTCAGATTCGTTTAAAGCACCCTTCTTAAACCCTTCAATAGAACATTATTAATAGCAAACAAAATAGACATTTTCAGCCTAGATCAGCAAGGAGCAATTATTTTCTTCTATGTCCTTTGTTCCAATTAAAACTTCTTAACTCCTCTGGATCTTATCTGAATTCAGTGTTATTGCAACAGTTCAAGAGGTTAATTTCTCTTATTTTAACGTATGTTAACAATATTGCAAATCATTATAAATGAGAAAAATAAGAATGAAATCAACAAAACTTCAATTCATTAATTTCGTGGTCCGCTTGACCAATTAATATATTACAATTAATTAAGGTTTTTAGTTGAAATAAAAAAGTCAATGGCACGAGCGGGATTCAAACCCACGATCTTCGGCTTGATAAGCCGCTGCTCTACCACTTGAGCTATCGTGACCTCGATCCACGTGGGTTCGAATCCCTCTCGTGCCATTAACTTTTTTTCATCTCAACTAAACACCTTAATTAATTGTCTTGTATTAATTGGTCAAGCGGACCACGAAATTAGTGAATTTAATGATTTAAAATGAATATACTTCACTAAAGCTCTCCGTGGCCATTTCATTTGTCGTCGAGAATCCAATCCGATTACACGACATTTGAAAAATGGCAAAAAGAAGGGAAAATGCAAAAGGTGGGTTGAGATGGAGAGTTGGTGTCCGAGTGGATCGAGGTCACGATAGCTCAAGTGGTAGAGCAGCGGCGTATCAAGCAGAAGATCGTGGGTTCGAATCCCGCTCGTGCCATTGAATTTTTTATCTCAACTAAAAACCTTAATTAATTGTAAAAACTTCAATGTTTTACTTTACACCTCCAATTTTAATTTATTTACAGAAACCAAATTTATGCCATTACTTATAGAAGCTTCTAAACCCCTCATCAATGGAACAAGAGTTGTTTCAAATTTATCAACATTTTTGTAATTTTTAAGAAACTTGGAAGCACCTTTGCAAAACCAAAGAAAAATGTTTATTTTATTTGCCCAAAAATTTGAATTCAGGTTGTTTTGGGTGTAAAAACTTTGTTTCTAGCTAAAACATATTTTAACCAACTATGCTACATCGCTCAGCCACAACATTCTTGTCGAAGGTCACCTTGAAATTTGCTCTCTGGCACATCGATTCTTTTTGTTTTTATAAAATGGGAAAATTATTTTGTGACTTATGCTAACCTTGAATTTGGACCAAAAACAGAGGAGTTATGAATTTTTAAGTAGAACATTGGAACATCAGAGAGAAAAAAAATGCCCTTGGCGAATCCAGCCCAAAAAAATTATAATTTCTTATTGCGATGAACATTTATATTTAAAACTTTCAATGCAAGACGTTTTTGCTGAAAACTCCCCTTAAGGGATATTTTTTAACATATTGTTTGGTTAAGTACACAACAATTATTTAGGCATAAAACAAATCTGTCATTAAAAGTTCGAAAACCAACTAAGTTGGCTGAAGGTAAATTTACCTCCTCCATAAGGCACATAAATCTAAGTTATACAATTCGCACAACATGCCTCGTGAAATCACAGAAATGCCGTTTTCTACGACATACAATAATAACTTTCAAATTTTAAATGCTTATTTTTAAAAATAATTTTTTTGATGAAATGAAAATTCTACAGTATTTACAAACAAATTAGTGAGAATTGGGGTCTGAGCCAAATGATGACAAAGTTGCATACAAAAAGCCAAAGCCAAAGTTGGAAATATTAGTGAGAATCAGAGTTGGAGTCAAAAAATCAGTCAAGAGTTGGAGTTAAAAAGTCAGAGTCAGAGTTAGAAATATTAGTGAGAATCAGAGTCTGAGACAGAAATTCAGAGTCAGAGTTAAAATTTTAGTGAGAATAAGGGTGAGTCAGATGAAGAGAAAGTTGGAAATATTACGAGAATCAGTGTTGCAGGCAAAAAATCAGTCAAGAGTGGGAGTTAAAAAGTCAGAGTCAGAGTTAGAAATATTAGTGAGAATCAGTGTCCAAGTAGAAAGTCAAAGTCGGAGTTAGAAATATTCGTGAGTATCAGAGTCTGAGTCAGATGGAGACCCAGAGAAAGTTGGACAAACAGAGAGAAAGTTGGAGTCAGAAAGTCAGAATTGTAACCTTTAATTACATGCAAAGACAAAAACTGTTTTAACAATTATTTAAATCAATTAATTTTTTTGCTTGGCTCCTAGGGTACTAGAACACTGACTCGTGTCTATTTTTTGTCCTAGCATCACCAACAATAATTTTATTAAAATCGGGGATCCCATGTAAGTTATTCCATTGTTAGCAGTGAATTTTCAAAACAAATCCATAAAAATGGATTGTTAACATTATAATATAGTTTATTTATTACTTTTCCTTTATTGATATATTAATTAACTTTTTCCAAAGGACTAGTTACAAAACTTACTAGTTTTGCATTCTCATTCTTCGTTACTTCTGCTTTGAGGGTCTGCTGTTTGGCTTTTAATTCTGCTTCAGCCTTGTTTCTTATCTCTTGGCGGCGCAGAGTCTCCTGCCTACGGTGTGCTTTCCTTGCAGCCGGCGGAGCACCAATTAAGTTTATAACAACATCTTTCTTTTGTGCATTTTCTTTCACCACTTCAAGTACATTTTCACTTATCATACACTGCGGGAAAGTGAAAAAGTTTAATTTTTGAGTCTCAAGGGCAGAACTGTTACAACTTACATCATCCCAGCATTCAGTGGAATTTTGTTGAAAGTTAGATGATGGCGTTACAGGTAACACTCCTTCAGGGGCTGTCGAATCCCCCAAATCATATATGAATGAATCCAACACTAATCTATCAGGGCAATCTTTTTCATGTTGCTTAAAAAAATAATTAATTAATTAATAAGTAGTAAGTATTCAAAAAGAACTTACCTCCAGTTCACCCGGATCCATAACGTGGATAGCATTAAACGGGCAAACAGACAATTTTACTTTGGCCTGCATGCCACATTTTCTCAAATGCATCGGCATTCTACTTGTACGTACTACATGTGCCTGGTTGTACGGGCATTTGATCATAGGGTCATAGTGATACATGTCTATAATTAAGCAAACACATTAGAGAAAAAAATGAGTAGCTGTTGTTTATTTTGACTATTCCCCTTGGTGTATTAAAACAAAAAAAATGCAAATAAATATTACTTTACTTTGATCAAATGTAGTCAAAATACAAAATTTATCCTACATGAAAAATGGAACTATTTACAGCCTCCAATCGACTTCCTGTCCAATAAGAAATCAATTTTATAGAACTTCATTCAATGACTGAAAGGCCAAAAAAATTTATTTGAAAACACAAAATGAAACCAAGAATTAGTACTCATTTTTCAAACAGCAAGAAGAAGAACACAGAAGTTGAAAGGGACAAAGCATTTGGTGGATCAAGACTGTTTTTTATCATGTGTCAGCATCAGTCTGCAGAAAAAAAATATGGTGACCGACAGATCACGAAATGCCAAAATGCATCTGACAGACCAACTCTGCAAGGATAAAAAGGCCAAAATAATCAGTAATGACCAAATTACAGGTACATCATCCTGCAGACAACATGAAGAAATCTCACAAGCTAAAATCCTCAGTGTATTTCATGTTAAGGGCTGATAAACTCGCAGTTTCGTCATTTCAAATTTCTTGTTCAGCATATCCTCGCTGGTTTGATCTGTCAGAAGAGTTATGGCATGTCTCCATCTTCAGTGTTGGCCCTGGTGAATTTTTTCTAGTGAAATTTCTTTTATGAAGTCATAAGAACTTGGCAGACCTGAAGGTGCAAGGCTAAAACACGTCTGGTAGAACACTCTGCAAGGGTAGGCAGTCCAAAACTATTGGTAACAACCAAATTACATCACCCCACGGACAAAAAGGAGAAATCTTAAATTGTTGTTACAATTTTATGTTGAGGTCTGTGTGTTGATGAAACTGCAGTTTGATCATACCTAACAATTGCACACCACATCCTCGCTGCTTTGGTCTGTAAGAAGCATTATGGCATATTCCCATCTTCCGAGTTGGTCCTAGTAAATTTTGTCTAGTCAAATTTATTTATTAAAGTCATGAGAGCTGGGAAAAAATATTGCTGGCAGACCAGCTCTGCATGGTTAAGCAGACCACCAAGCAGATCAGTAATGACCAAATGACAGATGCATCACTCCACAGACAAAGAGGAGAAATTACAAGGTAAATTATTCTGTGAGATTCAAGTTGAGGAATGACGAACCTGCAATTTGGTCTTTTCCTATCATCATGGTCAATCACTGCTTTGGTCTGTCAAAAGTATTATGGCATAACCCCGTCTTCAATGTTAGTCCTGTGTGTGTTCCGTGAGATTTTATGTTGAGGCCTGTGAATTGACCAACTTGCACTTTGATCTTTTGCTATCATCATGGTCTGCAAATAGTCACTGCTGTGGTCTGTCAGAAGCGTAATGGTATATCCCTGCACTTCAGTTTAGTCCTGGTGAATCTTGTCTAGTCAAACTTCTTATATGAAGTCATAAGAGCTGAGCAGACCTGAAGGCGCCATGTCAAAACATGTAGGGCAGACCAAAATGATCATTAACCACCAAATCACAGGTTCATCACCCCTTGAATAAAAAATATATCTCACAAATTAAATTATTCTGAGAGATTTCATGTTGAGGAATGACGAACTTGCAATTTGGTCGTTTCCTACCATCATTGTTAATCACCGCTTTGGTCTGTCAGAAGCACTATGGCGTATGTCTTCAGTGCTGGTCCTGTGAGATTTCATATTGAGATCTGTAAATTGACAAACCTGCAGTGTGATCGTGTGCTATCATCATGGTCTGCACATAGTCAGTCCTTTTTCTATCAGAACGTAATAGCATATCCCCACACTTCATTGTCGGTCCTGGTGAATCTTGTCTATTCAAATTTCTTTTATGAAGCCATAAGAGCTGGGCAGACCTGAAGGCGCCAGTCAAAACACATAGGGCAAATGAACTCTGCAAGGACAGGTAGACCGAAATGATCGGCAACCACCAAATTACAGATTCATCACCCTGAGGATAAAAAAGATATCTCACAAATTAAATTATTCTGAGAGATTTCATGTTGAGGAAAGACGAACTTGCAATTTGGTCGTTTCCTACCATCATTGTTAATCACCGCTTTGGTCTGTCAGAAGCACTATGGCGTATGTCTTCAGTGCTGGTCCTGTGAGATTTCATATTGAGATCTGTAAATTGACAAACCTGCAGTGTGATCGTGTGCTATCATCATGGTCTGCACATAGTCGCTGCTTTGGTCTGCCAGAAGCGTAATGGCATATCCCTGCACTTTAGTTCTGTCCTGTTGAATCTTGTCTAGTCAAATTTCTTATAGGAAGTCATAAGAGCTGGGCAGATCTGATTGCGCAATGTTAAAACACGTCTGGCAGACCATCTCTGCAAGGACAGGCACACGAAAATGATCGTTAACCAGTTCATACAGGTTCATCACCTCACAGACGTTTTAGGTTTTTTAGGTTTAAGTTTCGTTATTTTACAACTTAAATCAGTCCAGAGAAAAACATGTAGGCAAGGATGATAGACGAGCAAACCTGACTATTACCTTATCGAACACGCCTGAACCATGTTTATCATTCATAATTTATGTTATTGAGGTAGAAGGAATGTGCAAATTAATTAATTATTCTAGGTGTTTTTTTAACAATAGTGAAATAACGTATTAATAAGGATTAGCGTAAGCGCAAATCGTTTTGTGCTCATGTATCCTAATCCAGCTCTAATCAAATTTTAACATGAACAGAAATTTGTTTTGATTTAATAATTTATCTAAGACTAGTTTAATTAACTAAAAAGGAGAGTTTGTCCAGTGAAAAAAAAGTACTCTTACCGTTATATTCCCGTTATATGAGGACAGAGTGATAAAAAGCCAGTCGTTTCAAATTACAGTGAGCGATTCCCTCTCAGTCTCGGCGGTGTTCGGACCTTCAAACAAATGCCTCGATAGTGACGTTAAATTGATTGAATCAGATTTGAACTGCGGCAAATTATACCAAATTACAAAACAGTCAATAATTTGTTTTATTTATTTAGATAGATAGAATCTGTCTTACTATATCCATCTTATCTATCTTACTCGTGTTTTGGACCAACTATTGAAAATAGACTAGAAATGGTTCACGACCTGATAACATTGCACCTTTCCTATTAAATAGTTGTAAATTTATTTTTGAACCTGTGTTTTCATTATTGTTCAATAAATCTTTATCATTTGGCGTTTTTTCGTCCCTCCTCGAAGTCAGTTGTGTAATCCGTTTGTACAAAAATCGATTTGTTGTTACAAACTGCAGGCCGTTGTCTGCAATCGGTAATAACAAAAGTTTCTGATCTTATTTTAAAAACTGTCAATCCATTACTTAATCCTTACATAATACTTGAAAAGAGGGTAAACTCTAGGGGCACTAGACACAGTAAACTTACGCTAAAAAAAACCTTCATCGACTGGCAAACCCAATAGCTAGACATGGCTAAATTCAGAGGAGTAATAGGGCTACAGATCACCGGCATCTGAGAAAACATCTACACAATATATTCAATGATGACCCTTTCGTAGATATGCGATGAGAAGGAAGAAACAGTTACCCGTATTATCTACACAGAGACATAACCTGGGATACAAAGAAAACCTTGGGAAAGGAATTGTAGCGATGACAGTCAATTAACTATCACTTCTTAGGAGAAGGATCGAGTCCTGAACTAAGGAACTAGGGAAGTACGACAAGCCAGAAGACTGCCGTGATTGGGAAACAAAAACCCCCACTGCATAATATCTATCATCATCACTTCTTCAGTAGATGTTCAGTAGTATAAACTTGAAGCTCTGGTGTACAGGGAAAGGTACACAGTTCCTGTTAGGGATAAAAGAAGAAGCCAGGCCTTCTGCACCTCGACCTGAGTTGCTCCTCTATGTTATTTATAACTCACTCGCCAGCTTCAGGTTGTTAATCAACCTCCATAGCTTTGCCAAGCTCCTTAGTGTATGACCTTGCTTGCGGCTTTTCTTCAACTAGTTGCAAGAATATGCACCTACAAAGACCTTCACAAAAACATAAAATGTTATCTGCACAATGTTTTTTCTGTTTGTACTCCTATACAGTGCATTAGGCAGCAGTGTCGTGTCAGGAGTCCAACTTGAATCCTGACTCTATTACAGTTACCCTCCGGTAATTCCTTTGTAAGTCTATGGATAGCCCTTGTATGACTCTCTTCACTTGTCTCATGCATGAGGTGATCCTCCACCAAGTTTTGGACTCATTAAGGATCCATTTTGGGAGTGGCAAGGTTTTTATGGTTTGGGCCAAGAGAATTCATATTGGTTCTTTTTTGGCCAACATATCTGCCCTATCATTGCCTCTGTCCCAAATGCCCAGGGTCCTATGCCAAGGTCAGGTCATCGGTGTCGCTGACTACTGCCAGGGATTCCATACAAACCTTAACCTCAAACCTGCCTCATGCCTGCCAAACTTTGGACTCTTCCATTTTAATATTTTGTAGCAAGATCGAGTTTGGGACGTAAAGAATCAATGGCTTTCTCTATGTTCTAGTTAAATAAGGCAACTAGTTTATATATATAATTTTAATTTACTTTTTAGTGTAATACAATTTTGGTAGTATATTTGTAACTGTGGTTTAGGTAGATGTTTTATCCAGTTTTAATCTTAATGTCCAGTTCTAATCTTCTTCACAGACTCTCTTTCCATAGTAGTGGAATCATGGACGAAAGGTTTATTTTTATTCTTGAAGACATTGAAGGCAGATTCTTTATATTTAAAATTTACTTTGGTGGGATTTTGTCCTTAGCGGGTTTACCAAACCCAAATGGAGTAACATCAGTTCAACAGATGCATAAGGAACTGTCAGTTGCACAACAGTATCTGCTAAATTTTTATTTTATTTTTTTTTTTGAAAAACACAAATTGTTTAATTAAATTTCAACAAAGGAATCTTTAAGCTTGGTATGTAAGCAATAGTGCACTTGTGACAGAGTATTGCTGACTGTCCTAGATGTCCAGCATTACCTGCTGGAAGGTGAAAAAATTTTTCAATTTACATTTTCTCGCCAGAATTATTGTTGAATTGTTATTTTTGCGAAATGTTTAAAGTTGAAATTTTTTAAACTGTTTTGATCATTTTGAGTGTCTGTTAATGATGTCATTAATGATAGCACGTTGCATAGTATAGCAGTCTGTTTCCCTCCGGCGGCTCGTAACCAGCTACTAGCCAGTCCCGGTAGACACTAGTCAACAGTTAATATTCAATATTCTCTCGTTTACTTATGTATTATACGAAGTTCGATCTTCTTCGGCCTTCTTTTCAAATTGAAATTGTTATTATTTTATTTCCCCAAGCTCGAAGTTAACGGACAGAATATCGTGGGAAGTATTTCACATTTAAACCAGGTGAGTCGGTTTGTCTGATGTTTTGTCTATACCATCATACTTATACCTCTATATACAAACCGTCACATATAAAGTTAGCTTATAGGAGAGTTGACTCGGTTTTTCAGGTAAAGTAAGCTTAAGTGTAAAAGCCAACAGTCGAGCCTGAAAGTGTAAAAGGCATGTTTTTTCTTCATTAAAATAGGTTTTTTTTTCCAAATATCGAAAATAGATACCCACACGTAATAAGTGTCTGCCAGGCCAAACCAGTGAGGATAGTCAGATCTTTAATTGCAGGATTCTTGACAATTATATATTAGAAGGAAGAACATATAGAACATATTAGGAAATGAATCTTCATCGGCCATGACATTGCTAATCTCTTTGCTAAATAATTCTCCCAAGTCTATGACCATAGTTCTGATCTTCCCACTTCCCTACCTGAAACAACCTCTCTCCTTATGCCATCTTCTTACACTATCTCTAATTACTATATCTCACACAATGAAATACTAAATTCTATCTCATTACTTAACGTGAAAAAGTCTTCTGGTCCCGATTGCATACCCCCTATATTAGTTAAAAAGTGTTCTGTGGCTCTTATTGCTCCTTTACACTATATTCTGAACCAGTCGTTAAAAACAGGTATTTTCCCCAATGCTTGGAAAAGCACTTTTGTCATTCCTCTACATAAAGCTGGCGATAGATCTAATGTTTTCAATTACAGACCAATATCTATTCAATCCATGTTCTCCAAGATATTTGATTCTATTATTTGTAATAAACTTAAAAATGACATTAAATCTTTTATTATACCTCAGCAACATGGTTTCTGCTCTAATAGATCAACTGTTACTAACCTGCTCACATTTCAAAATTACATTTTAGATGCAATAAACTCTGGACACCAAGTAGACTCAGTGTATACTGATTTTTCTAAAGCTTTCGATAAAGTAAATCACACAATACTGTTAAGGAAACTAATGGATTATGGTTTCACCGGAACTATCTTGAATTGGTTATCCAGCTTTCTCTCTGACAGAAAACAAATAGTCAAAATAAAATCATTTAAATCATGTCCCTTTGCGGCTTCCTCGGGAGTCCCGCAAGGGTCTCATCTTGGACCAGTTTTGTTTTTCTTATTTATTAATGATATCCATCTTGCTCTTCCTTCTGCTCAATTTTTATTATTTGCTGATGATCTGAAAATCTATTCCATAATCACTTCTTCCGATTGCTTACAATTACAAAATTCTATAAATAATGTGCTAACCTGGTGCTCTAATAACAAACTTGCTCTTAATGTTTCCAAATGCTACACAATTACATTTTCTCATAAGAAACAACCTTTTATTTATCTCTATACTCTCCATGATGCTCTTTTAACGCGAGTTGAGGTCGTAAAGGATCTTGGTGTACTTTTTGATCAAAAGCTCAAGTTTAAAGAACATATTTCTTCAATAAAAAATAGATCCATGAAGATGCTAGGTTTCATCATCCGGAACACCTATGAATTTAAAAATCCTTTATGTTTTGTCTATCTTTATAAAGCTTTTGTACAACCCATACTAGAATATGCTACACCTGTTTGGAACCCATTCTATCTAAATTATCAAAAATTCTTCAATCTGTACAAAACAAATTTAAAAAAAAACTTTCCTACAAACTCAATCTTCCTCCGAATTCTGCCTACCCTGGAATCCGCTCTGAATTTAAACTTTTCGAACTGGCACTAAGAAGGGATTATTTTGATATTGTTTTTGTATTTAAATTATTGATAGTCCATATCTCCTCTCTCAACTACAGCTACATGTCCCTTCGTACTCTCTTAAAACCTATAAATTATTTTATATTGAATTCCAAAGCTCTAACTACATGCTCTCTTCTCCTCTACACAGAATCCTCTTGATGATCAAGAGTAACAACACTTCTTCAATAGTTCTGTGCAATCTATGAAAAACCTTATCTTACAACCTTAGTTGAATGCTTTTATATTTTATACTATACAAAATTATTACAATTTATTTCATTTACTGGTTCAATTAATTCTTGCACTCTAGTCTTATTATATATTTACAAATAGCATTATTTTCATTCAATATGTACCTAATTATTGTATTTTCAATTGTCTTTCAGCTTTATTTTGTTTTCTCTGCCTTATTTGGTTAGTAATTATGTCTTTCATTTTTGTTGTTCAGTTTTTACTCTTTATTTTTATTTTTTTATTTATCATTTATATTTACCATTTATATTATTACCATGGATATACGTCCTTATTCTTTTTACATATATTATTTATATTTTTTGTTATTGTAAAATATCTTTTTATAGTGGATTCGATCTGTAAATAAATAAATAAAAAGAACTTATATCGGAATTTGCTGGTTTTTGCCTCATCTTTATCGGATGGGTCTAGATCCGGCGAGAGTATGGCGTGCACCATCTAAAACGGGAGTTCGTCCATTTCATGGTCGCTCCTGTGACACTGCAGCATGTACATGGTGTGTATACGATCTGGCGCATCCTTGGGATGAATCAATATGAAGAAATTTCTTTCCCCATCTATACCGACTCCCTGGATGCCATTGGCAATTCAGGACGGATTCTTGGTGGACCCTCTCATCGTGCTGTTTTTAAAGAGATTTTTCTGAGCCAGAGTACCTCGGAAAAACTACGGTGGTAGTCGTCTGGGTAACATGCATGCAGGGTGGTGGAAGCTGGGATTCCTCGCCCTCCAGACCAAACTTCTATGATCCTGTGATGCTGTGCGATCAATAAAAAATAAATGCCAGCACCAATGGGCTGTGTTGTTCTAAAAAGTTCCTGCAAGTTAAGAACATGACTGGATGATGGCTCCCCCGAGAGTCTGAAATGAAAGGAAAGGATCGTGATAATCCGTTTAGGATAGGCCATACTTGACACACATGCTTTTAGGCTAAAATGTGCTGGTGTCTCATTTGTAAATAAAAGTTGCTCAATGAGTCACATCTGATCGAAGACTCTTGGTCCTTTACAGGGAGCGAGTAGGCATGAGCCCTGACATAAAGATGGTAGTTGGGAGAGCGGTTCAAAAGTTGTGTCCCCTGTTCTTTTTCTTAAGAGTAAGAGGAGTGTTTCCTCACTCAGAAATTGTATATACATTGTGTATGTGGATTATTATTATATAATGTGAAATTTGAAAATAATCACATTATTGTGAGGGTATGATTAATGAGAGATCTGATGGCAGAATATTGAGTACCCCATCAGTCATAACAGTGAGTGGGGGCTGAAATGACTTCACTGTTGGTAGCTCTCAACCATGCATACCAATATATATGGTATTCATATTAAACCGGCACAGGGTCACTTACTGGGTCCATCTCCACTTGCAGGTTTTTTGAGTTATTCAAACGTGTTTCGGCATTGTGACATCTTCGGTGAGGAACTCTTGTGAGGATTGAAGATGGCACAATATCAAAGCGTGTTTGAATAACTCATAAAAACCCGCGAGTGGAGTCAGACAGTAAGTGACCCTGTGCCGGTTCAACATGAGTTCACCAACTTGCAAGCCAAAATAAATAATCAACTGCAATATGTGCATACATATACCTATATTACAACAAGCTGTTTTAATAGTTCTTTCATCGCTATCAGAAAATTTAGTTTAAAATTTAATTAGATTATAATAATCTAACCTTATCCTAATCCTAACTTTAACCATACTTTACCTATCCCAACTCATATGGAACCTCACTATTGGGAAATTGATCATGTTAGAAAAAAAGATTTAAAAATATTAAATCCAGCCCAAAACATTACATTTTAAAAATTGTTTTTTCAGTCATTACAGTATGAGTGGATTCTTTTTCGATAAGACTCCGACAAAAAGGACAAATGGGGACAGCGAGGAAAGCTCAAACGAGTGCTCTCCGTTAACTGAGTTTCACTATGATTCTAATTCGCCAGTCATCAATTGGGATTTTCCCAAACCTCGTGTTAGCAGGAGTGAGTCATTATACTTATTTAATGATATATCATTTCTTTTTGTTTATGTATTTATTTTTTCTTAACTGCGTTGTAGAAGTGAAAGAAGCTGCTAAAGCACTTGCTCAAACAATGAGTAATATAGGAAAGCCTAAACGATCGAAAATGGTTTTGCAAATGCAAAGAGGACGTTCAAAACCGAGAACATCTGGCGATTTTCCATCTTCACCTTTATCTCATTTCACTAAAGACGATAAAATTGACCAGAAAAAAAAGATACAGCCAAGGGCCAAATTTGGTATGTTATATTTACTTAAATCAGTTCTATTGTCTTCTCGTACACTTAAATATCTGTTATAATGTCTGTACAATATGATTAGCACAATACAGTTTAACCAGTAAGATTCTGAAACATGGAACATTTAATTTCACGGATTTTAAATTTATCTGCCGCCTTTGGCCTAATTGACTGTCAGACTCTTATATACAAATTGCCAGTATTGGGACGTTAAAAGCAAATTGTAAAAAGTAATTATAAATATCTATACTGACAAAAGTGCTGCATGGGTGACAATTTCAAGACAGAAAATGGCAATAAACAGGGGTTGGCTATTGTTCTTACTTCTTAATGGATACAGAAGACTGGCTTAGAAGGAGGAATACAGATGGCATATGTAGACGATCTCATTTTGTATGCCCCAGACAAAATTGCAATATTAGAAAATGACAGTGCCCTGCTGAATGTTGCTACAAGTGGAACTTGCTAATTATTATTATTTTTTTAACTAGTCATATTTAGGATACGTAAGTCAAATCCTGAAGAAAAGTGTACGATTAAAACTAATGCTAACTAAAATAAGATATTCTATATAATATATCTGTGATTGCAGTGAAAAGTTGGTTAACTGATTATTGACAGATATAAGCTTAAATCTGCACATGCATGTACCGATCACTTCCCACCGTCAAGTGGCAATTCCAGCTTTTGTATTTTACAATAAATTATCAGCAGGTCTTGAGAAACCCCCACCTTAGGTGCTGGAAGTCTGTGGTCAGACCTCGATTCATCCAGCTGCCAAGGTTGAGCATCAGGGGCCATCAACGGCTAGATCATCTTAGGTCAAATTCAAAAGCAATCAGTTCCTACATCCATTCACACTCACTCTTAAATATATTCTTTCTTATTTACAAACCATTCACTTGGGGTGGTGGAGTACTTGATATTCCTCCATCACCCTTTACACATGTTACATAATTTCTAATTGAGGGTAAATAGGATACTCAGTATTCAGCAATCGGTCCTCACACTGCACATTCACACTAATAAATACATTCAATAAAAGTACATTCTGAAAATTTTGATAACAATGTACAAAATTATTTGCTTTCGCAGATGATCTAATAGTTGTGGTACAGAGCAAAGATCACTTAGAGCTACAAATAGCAATAAAGTAATGGGGGCAATTGAAAAATGATCTGAAGAAAATAAAATAACTTTTAATTTTAGCAAATATAAACTGCTTCTTGTTTCTAGAACCAAACGAACACAAAGTATGAGAGTCTATCTCAAGTCAGAAAGGATTCAGGAGGTTCAAAATGTGAGATACCTTGGGGGTTGGTTAGATCAAAAATTTTCTTGGAATAAGCATGTAGAGATGGTATGTCAAAAAGCTGCGAGTTTGATTAATGACCTCTCTAGATCTGCTAAAATTTACAGGGATTTTTGAAACGACGCCCTCGATATTATTTATAACGGAGCTATTATGCCTATCTTACCATACTCAATGCCAGATTGGAGCAAAGCGCTGCAACGCCAGAAAAATGTCCAAAGACTACGTATAATGTGTGGTATTTAGTGGCCGTTAATTAATGATTATTTGAAGATCATGAGATGCAGTCTGGTGTTACAAAGGTTTAGAAAAACATTTTCTTTATCGTGCCAACGTTTCAATCTTTATTGAGATCATCTTCAGGGCCTGGGATTTATACTACGTATAATCCAACATCTGATTCTGCTAAATTTTATAAAAGGATTCCGTACCATATCATATGAAGCAGTATGTACACTTTATAAATATCTTACTGAGTAGATCCTCTGAATGTTGCAAAATCTGGAAACCCCATGAATATACCGAACTAACATATCCAAAGACCTGGCAGTCGCTGTAGCTAAGTGGATGCATCCAATAATGATAATACACACTCAGATGCATGAAGACTCGCTCATTAATATTTAAACTGACAGCAGTAAAATCGAAGAGAAAGTTGGATGTTTTTTCGTACTATTTGTAGATGCAAACTGGGATCCACCAACATACAGTATTAAATTCACTAGTTTCGTGGTCCACTTGACCAATTAATATCATACAATTAATTAAGGTTTTTAGTTGAGATAAAAAACCTTAATTAATTGTATGATATTAATTGGTCAAGCGGACCACGAAACTAGTGAATTTAATAAGTTTAAAAAAATGAAGTATCCTTCACTAAAGCTCTCCGTGGCCATTTCATTTGTCGCCGAGAATCAAATTGATTACACGACATTTGAAAAATGGCAAAAAGGAGGGAAAATTCAAAAGGTGCGGTTGAGACGGGAAGTTAGTGTTCGAGTGGATCGAGGTAACGATAGCTCAAGTGGTAGAGCAGCGGCGTATCAAGCCGAAGATCGTGGGTTCGAATCCCGCTCGTGCCATTGACTTTTTTATCTCAACTAAAAACCTTAATTAATTGTATGATACAGTATTAAATTTAAAATCCTGAACTAGTGCTCATACAATCAAGTTGAGCTAGCAATTTTAAAAACTCTAGATTGGGTTCTAACAATCAACGATTCATGCAGCAGTTCCAAAAGTGCAACCATATGGACAGAAAGTGAAGTAGCAATTAAGATAACAACATTAAATGCCATCTTGAATTGGTTGAATCAATGGCCAATAGAAATGCCCTATTAGACGTTAATAAACAGAATTGGATAGTTTCAATAACTTGGGTAAAGGCCAATGCAGGCCACCTTGCAAATGCACTTATTGACACTTTTTAACTACTATTTCTTAACATTTTTTAAATTAATATTTCAGATTTTGAAGCACTCGAAAAAATTGATTTAGGACAACTAGATTCAGAAACTGTTGTTAATATAAAAGCCGGACTTAGCGATGACTCATCAAATCAAAATTCACCATCCTCCTCGTCGAGTAGTGCAAAATCGATTCAAACCTCCCAAAATGCATTAACGACAAAGGGAAATAAAAGAAAGGCACCTCATACTGCAAATCAAAGTGTGAAATTGGGCCGGATTTCCAAGGAACAAGAGAGTCCCAGGGTTAATAGTGACTCATTAGGTTAGTATTTAAATTTATTGGTGATTTTGGTAAATAAATGAACAAGTTGTACAGCTAGTAGTTTTATGTTGAGATGATGAGATGTGATCTCAAGGGCCATAGACAGTAGGTTTGCGGAGCGCCACTCATGACACATCTTTTTTTTTTTTTTTTTTTTTTTTTTTTTTTTTTTTTTTAATTGACCTTATGATCTTGCATATTAGCCATAGTACGAATTCTTGTGTGTTCAAATTGGGGGTTATCGGGAAAAAAGGGCCAGAGGCGACGGTGGGAATCGAACCCACGACCGCGGTGTGAGAGTCTCTCATGCTAACCACTCGGCTACCGCGGTCCCCTGACACATCTTTTCATCTCAATTTTTTCAACCTATTCAGGATGGTCAGCGCTTTCATTCCCTAAATGAGGTACTGAGAGTAATATATTGCATTCATCCATACCTTACGCAGGTACTGCTAGTGTGATATCGTGCTCTCTCTTTATTTTTTCTCACTTCTCACTTTTAGATTCAACTTCATAGAAGCAGTGTGCTGTTTAAGTTATGGTTTTTAGTGCTAATGGGAAATTTAGAAAACAAGATGCCGTTGTTTACCATTTTAAGCAACACACTGCTTCTTTGCACTTCAGTCTAAGAGTGAAGAGACAATTGTGTGAAATCGTGGTACCTCAGTGGGGGAAGCAAGAGCTTAGATAGACCATGTACTTATTAATATTTAAAATGTTTTTGTATTAAAATAATGCCCATTTCTGCTGATAATCAAAATTGTGTGTGATGTGTTTTACTAATTCAATATTCTTCTTTGCAGGTGGAAAAAGAAACCAATCTAAAGAAAAGGAAAATTTTCTTATTGATCAACTCTTAGACGATGACCTAGCGTTTTTTATGACACCCGAGTTAGCGTCATTGTAAATTAGAGCCTGTATTAAGTAACTGTCTGTGATAAACCAAGAACATTGGGTTTGTACCTTCATATTTTGTAAAACGCTCGTGCGATTGTAATTTTATTGTAGGCTTAATCATGCTACGAGTACAATGCTAAAGAAAATTGATATGTGCCTATAGATTGACTGATAAATTGTTGACTTGTTGTAGTATTACTCAAGAGTTAGCATCATTGTAGAGTTGATGCACCTGACTGTGATATATCAAGCACTTTGGATTTGTTCCTTCATTAATCTTTTTTATTTTTTATTTTTATTTGGTTTGTAAAACAGAATAAAAATGAAGTGTAATCTAGAGAGTAGAATTTTGTATGATATTTTATATCAGGCAGACGTTTGCTGTGGTGTCTTATACATTAAATGCTGTGTCAAATCTTAATAGACCTAGCTTAAATTTGAAACTACTTAAATGTTGAGTTTTATTCATTTTATCCTAATGGTCTTTTGTGTAATTCCAATTCCTTCCTGTGTCAAATCAGTTTAGAATATTAACTAACGCGATAACTGACTGATTTTATTTTATTTTGTTGTATTGAATGTTGTAAATATTATTGTTAATTGACTTGTTAATAAATTATATATGTTTGTTTACTTCAAATTGAAAAACAAAAATGTAAACATTAAAGAAAGATATAATTTAGAAATTTAAGCATTTTTCTACTTTCCCATTTTAATCTTTTGTTGTTCTTTTAATTTTTTAAAATGAGCTATCCTTATTCAGTATTTTATAAATGATTCATTGGGTAACATAAATGGTTTGATGTAGGTTCACACAGCATATTTTCTTCACTTGTGGGAAAACAATAAGTCATGGATATGTAACTTAATCACCCCCACCCCTGCTTAAAATGGTCCTCAACCCATCCAACCTAACATAGTCTGTCCATCCTCCTAACCATACCTAATCACACATAACCTATTCCCAACCCTACCTAACCATATCTAAATTAACATAACCCATCCATAAACCTAACCATATCACTGTACCATCATTACCACCATCCATAAACCTAACCATATCACTGTACCATCATTACCACCATACCATACCATTACTATGAGTAGGAACTATCTTTTTAAAAAGATTAACCCTATCTATCATCATAACCCGTCCCTTACCCTAAACCTGTCTAACCTAACCCTTGTACGCTCCCCAGTAACATGAAATTGTTTCTGTGAAAATGGTCAGGCAAAAAATACGTTTCTGGCAATCTATCAGTACTTCTAGCAACACATCCAGTTTCTCTTCAAATCCAACAAAGTAGTTTCCAATTGAATTGATGGGGCATTTTTCAGAATGATTATTTCATAATGAGAGGAGTAAGGAACTGAGATAACGATATCACGCTCATACCTACCTCCATGCAGGCATTCAGTTCTCACTTTTAGATCCGTGTTCATAGAAGAAGTGGGCTGTTGAAGTTATTATTTTTGGCACTAGTGAGAGTAGGAAAGTTAGAAAATAACACCGTTGTTTACCATTTTAAGCAACACACGGGATAGCTGAGTGGCCAGCGAGATAGACTCTTGGCTCATAGACCTTGTGGTCATGGGTTCCATTCCCACCATTGCTCCTGGCTTTTTTTCCCTTCCCCCAAAAAAAGAATACACATCACAAATGATCAATTACGTTCCTTGGCTAATGTGCAAAGTTCATAAGGCCAGTAAGAAAAGCAACACACACAGTTTCATTGAACTTCAGCTTAAAAGTTACGAGAATAGAGAGCCATGTCCTGAATGGGCTAATATGTCATCAATATGTAACTCCTCCCTCAGCTTTGGTCATTCATTAAACATGACTTTGGTATGGTCGTACTAAGAGTTTCTCTAGCCGATTAGTGTACATTGGTGAAAGGTTAAGTAATAGAACTTCCAAAGCTGCAGGTGTAGTCCTCATGGCTCTTAAGCCAACCTTTATATACTTTGAACTAGTTAAATTTGCATTTGGGAGTTGTAAGGTGATGGTCAACAGTGTGGTAAGTATTGGACTTGAAAGTAGATTTCAAGATGGAGTCTGAAGTAATGTCGGTCAAAATTCGTATTCACTTGAAGATAGACTGGTCGGCTTTGTCGAAACAGAAAATGGTTTGACCGCCCATTTATGGTCTTGCAGCGTTGTATCTCAAGCTGTTGGGAAAATTCTCAAGCTCAAAGGACATCTCCAAACTTCAAAGGTATTCGCATATTTCATCAATCAACATGCCGTTCGCAAGCTCCAGTTTTTCTTTAAAAAATCGTTTAACACAGTATATCACTTCATCTTTTCCTTCTCAACAGAATAAACCCAAAACTGGATTTTTGTTTTGAAGGCGCTATCTTTGTTATTAGAATCGAAAGTTTTGATACTCTTCCCTTGAAAAGAAATACTCATCTCATTCATTTAAATGGAAATAAATATCTGATAAAAACAACAGCATACATTGCCATTTTTCATCATTGAAAACGTTGGCCAGTTTGATATTGTGCTCTAACCAACAAGATTTCAGAACATAATTCCTGTAATCGTGGGATGCCACCTGATTTCTGAATACGTAGAAGCAGGGAATGATGAAAGCTTCCCAATATCTTCACAGAGTATTGTGAAAAGTCTTGATTTCAATGGCCGCTATTTGACATAATTAATAATTTGAAGAGATTCATCCAAAACTTTCTTAAAAGATCGAAACATTTGTTTCATAACCAAAGCAAATCTATGGAGAACACAAGACTGTTGCAAAAAAAAATTAGTTTTTTAATTTTATTCATTCATTCTACGTTTATTTTTGTAAATAATATTTGTTCTCAAAGATTGCCCACAGTTTAGGAAGCCCTGGTGTAGGGAATTCAATATGTGGCCCTGTACAAAATGGAATCTGTACCCCTTTTAAAAGTCCCACCCATAGAGAAGCCTACAGGAATTAAAAAGGAAACAAGACCGGCTTTTCCACATTAAAATGAGGCGAGATGGTTTTCTTAAATACGAAAAGTTGTAGGTCATTACAAACTATATATCACCCCTATCAAAACGGTTTGGGTCAAGGATCATGGCGAGCCAAGTCATATAAAAATAGTTCGACCTATATTAGCGGCTGATTTCATAAGAAGTTATAACTTGGAAAAAAAAAAAAAAAATAGACCGTAATGAAAAATTAGGGTAAACCGATCGTTACAAGCGAATGAGTATTTTATAAACGTTTCTATGCAATGTCGCCGTGCAATCGACATGGCCAGGGGAACGAGCCTGATAAAAATCAAAAATCTTTCGGTTTACATTTAAAACAGTTGCAAATAGCTGTGAGTTGCACGAGTCGCTCCCGTTAGCTATTTCGGTCTTAGACGAAGGAGAAATCTGACGTTTTTATTCGATGTCTTATCCCCCTAGAAATACCGAGAATATCGGCCCGGCCCACATTTTTTTATTAACGTCATCTTAAATCTTTATTATTAATTGCAACATAAATAAAGTTCCCCAGGATTCAAAAAATTATCTTGTAGATATTGAGAAAAATTATATAATTTCAAAAATCGGTATGTCAAATAAGGTAAAGACTATTTACATTTTGCACACAGGTCAGATATAGAAGTTATCCTAGACAACTGTTCAATCAACACCGAACAAAAATAATATAGAGAACCAAGACATCCTGGGGAAAGCGCATAGCTGGGTCATTAAACCCAAAATGACCCTATGGTCATACACTTGCATAGTATGGACCGAAGACTGCAATGCAATAAGCACTAACATAAATGCCGGCTGCACCAACTGATTTTTTTTTTTTCATTTTCTCAATAAAAGAAAATTCTGCCTTTAATTTGTCTCATTGTTTTCAACAATAATTGTTTATGCTATATTTTAAATTGGGACTATCAAGTAGACCTAAACACAATCCTTAATCCAAAACAAGGATAAAGGATTTTTCAAAGTTTACTTTTCACGGAATTTAAAATGTTTATTCAGTCTCATTTGAATTTTAAAGCAATAAACAGTTTAGATTTCACCTTTGTTTTCTTAATTTCAATTTTTAAACATAAAAATCCCATTTAGACCTGAGGATGTTGCGCGTGTGGCATTTATTGATGATGGACGTTCCATCAGGAATGAGGCTATTGCCATACCTACGAAACTCAGCGAGACGCAGTTAGACGTTTTAGAAAAACTGAGTCCTACCATAGAAGGCCTGGTTCTGGACGCCCTAGGGTAACAGAACCACAGAATGACCGTTTTTTGACTTTGATAATTTTGCGAAACCGGCAACTTACTGTTGTCGAAGGGATTCATCAGCTCCTGGAAGTTCGGAGTGTCCAAATTTCTGAACGCACTGCTCAAAGAAGCTGCCTTGGATCGTTAAGTTCAGCACGTCGCCTGATGTGTTCTGCGTAGGTTGTAAAGTTATGGTTACTATATTTCGATAATTTTTCGTTTAAGTCATTTAATCGTTCAAATAAAGGAACCAAAATTGTCATTTTTCGGTNACTGGTAGAAAATATGCCGAGGCGTCTTCGAGATGTAATTAAGGCAAGAGGAGGAAATACGCGATATAAAAAATGTTAATTAAAAATCTAAAACAAATTGTATCTGTCCGTCTTTCTTTTCCTTAGCAAATTGCGTTTTTTAACCTTTTTTGACAAAGACTCAATTATTAAACGTTAAAAACCTGAAACTTTGATTAATGTATAAATATATATACAAAACAAGTTATATTACAAGTGGGTGGAATTTTTTGTCTGTCAGTGAATTAGACATACTCATTCGAAAAGCTAGGGGACCTTCCCAAACTGTAGTCCGCGGCGAACTTCGAGAAAAATTAATATCTACAAAAAGAAATGTCGAATGAGTAAATAAAAAAAATAAAAAACTAATAACGATGAGTACGGAAAACGATTTTTTTTATTTTGCAGCAGCAGTCTTGTGTTCCCCATAGATCTGCTTTGGTTATGAAACAACTGCCAGCCTCTTTTAAGAAAGTTTTGGATGAATCTCTTCAAATTATTAATTATGTCAAATCGCTGCCATTGAAGTCAAGACTTTTCACAATACTCTGTGAAGATATTGGGAAGCTTTCATCATTCCCTGCTTCTACGTATTCAGAAATCAGGTGGCATCTCACGATTACAGGAATTATGTTCTGAAGTCTTGTTGGTTAGAGCACAATATCAAACTGGCTAACGTTTTCAATGATGAAAAATGGCAATGTATGCTGTTGTTTTTATCAGATATTTATTTCCATTTAAATGAATGAGATGAGTATTTCTTTTCAAGGGAAGAGTATCAAAACTTTCGATTTTAATCAGAAAGATAGCGCCTTCAAAACAAAAATCCAGTTTTGGGTTTATTCTGTTGAGAAGGAAAAGATGAAGTGATATACTGTGTTAAACGATTTTTTAAAGAAAAACTGGAGCTTGCGAACGGCATGTTGATTGATGAAATATG